TTTCAGCATATTATGGGGGTACGGATGTTTAGGTTACATATGTTGCCCTTCCCCCCTTCCCCCATCTTTCCTCATCCTTTGAGACTCAACTTACTGTTCATTTATTTCAGGAAAGTGAACCCTAGTTTGGAATAAATACCCCTCCCCTGGGTTCCCATAGCACTTACCACAATACATTAAGTTTATGTCTTTTATTCCTCCCGCTGTTGTGTGGTTGACCAGAGACCTGGAGGATAGCTTCTTTATTTCTGCACCTAAAGTGCCTATCACCAGTAAGAGAAAACAATCTCTCCAAGCACCTATTTATACTAAAATGAATCTAGGTTTACTTCTCATTTTTTAGCAAGTCTGTGCTGTCCAGAATGCAGAGACGTGCCCATCCTGCCCACCACCTGCTTGTCGCTCCCCTCTCACGGGAAGCATCCGGCCTCTGCCCTCAGACCCCGCTGACAGCGAGGTTCTGGTTTGCTCTTCTCTCGCTTCCACTTGTAGAGAGATGGGAGCATGTGAACAGCAACGTTGAAAACACTGTCCTCGTTTCTGCTGGGCACAGACTAAGTGCTGTCTCTGGGGGAAGCACGCTGATCCCCAGACAGACTTTTCTGTGACAGAGTGGCCAGTAGGCTGCGAGATCCGCCGGTGGCGCCTGGCCTGCGGCCTGTGGGGAGTGTGGGGTCAGCACAGCGCTGGGAGGCCGGGCTGCTGGGGGAAGGAGGCTGAAGTTCACAGTTAAAAATAGTGCCAGAGAAGGCGAAAATGTGCTCTCGGCAGACCCACGTCCGGCAGGCCTTTAGGCTGTGTGCTGTTGGTGGTGGTTGCTCTAAAGCTTCCTTTCGGTAGCTCTGTTGGTCGTGTGCTTCCTTACAGTCCCACTGTCACGACTACTCTGAAGAACCTGGGGGCGCTCTACAGACGGCAGGGCAAATTCGAGGCTGCAGAGACGTTGGAAGAAGCTGCCATGAGGTCGCGCAAACAGGCAAGTCATGCCTTCTGTCTTTGACCTGTCAGAGCTTTGAGTCTATGACTCTCTTTTACGTGACTTTTATTGAGATACAAAATCTTGAATATTTTAGTTTGTACAAATAAGTTATCTTGTTTCAAAAACTTTAACATGACACCAAAAGCCTGGACAGCAAAAGAAAAGTGGGATTGGTAGGATTCACCAAAGTTAAAGGCTTGTGTATCCAAGGACTTCTTCCAGAAAGTGAAAGGACAGCCCACAGAATGGGCAAAAATATTTGCAAATCGTTTATCTGATAAAGGCCTAGTATCTAGACAAGACGACAACACAATTAAAAACGGGCAAAGGGCCTGTGTAGACGTTTCTGTGAAGATGGTGACAAGGGGCTGACAGGCGCATAAGCAGACGCTTGCTGAAACCACAGCGAGACACTCAACCGCCTCACGCCCCCAGGGCGGCTGTGGTAGAAAACAAGCCTTTGGAAAAACAAATGGAGAGGAACAGGTGTTGAGGAGGTAGAGAAAGTGGAACCCTCATAATCCATTGCTGGCGGGAATGTAAAATGGCGCAGCCACTGAGGAAACAAGTCTGATGGTTCGTCAGAAAGGTAAACTCAGCGTCACCACGTGACCCAGCAGTTGCTCTGCTAGAGACGCGCTCAGAACCCACACAGGTGCGTCCTCGCAGCCCACACCTGGCGCTGTCAGCCAGCCCCTCCCTCCCTTCCACCCTGCCCCCAGGGGAACCACTATTCTGATTTTTTTCCTCTAGTGATTAAGAACTGACATTTGTTTTTGCTAGTGAAGTTTAAGTATCTCAGAAAGACGTAAGAAAACTTAAGTGCTAATGGGTCGACTGTTCTCCCCCGCCCGGCTCACAGGGTCTTGACAATGCTCACAAACAGAGAGTGGCCGAGGTGCTGAACGACCCTGAGAACACGGAGAAGCGGAGGAGCCGCGAGAGCCTCAACGTGGACGTGGTCAAGTACGAGAGCGGCCCTGACGGAGGGGAGGAAGTGAGTATGAGCGTAGAGTGGAACGGGGTAAGTACAGTACACAGCCGGCGCGCGGGAGGCGCCGCCCTGCCCTCGGCAGCCCTGCCAGGCCTTCCTCTGTCCCTCGCTGACATCCTCCTGCTCTCACACTAAGTGCCCGTTAAGCTTTCTGTGAGTTCTTCAGTCTGCTAAAGCTGCGGTCTGCTACTTGTGTGAAGTGGTCGTTTTCTTCTCCTTGGGAGCCCATGAGAGCTGTTTGGCTTAACTCGGAGCACTTCAGTGCTGATTGAGTGTCCTGGCTACTTAGAGCATGATCCGTACTCCGGTTTCATGTTAATGTTGGCATCGGATAACTAACTGGCTTCTTTAACTCACCCATTCCATTCTAACACCAGTGCTTCTAACTAACTTCACTGACCAGGCTGCTCTGGATTTTGTTAGAATTAGTTAAAATGCCGTTTAAGTGGAATTCGTTTTTGGAGAACGGCAGCTCAGAAACGTTAGGGCGGCTGCTCTGCTTGATGTCGCGTATTCCCACCCGAGAGGGCGCCCAGCAGTCCGCGCGCTCCACACTGCCCCCCGGAGAGCTCCTGGTCCGGCCCACGTGCCGGTACTTGAGACAGGCTGCGCAGGCTCTGCGCTGGGATTTGCTGGCTCCCCTCCGGGAATTCTCGCCACCACTGTCCATCCAGCCGTTGCCAGAGAGCAGGTGGCCTTCTGGACATCATTCTCGTGAACTTTTGTAACACACGTAAATTTTTTGTACATTGAGCTGGTGTCTTTGGAATTTTGCTTTTATCAGGAAGAGTTGTTGAACGTGGGATTTAACCTATCTGGGGCACTACTGATTTAGTTTGGAAGATGTAGTAGTGCAGTTTGATTATTTGCATTGTATGGATGTTTTGCCAAATTGCATACTAGTTTGGGCCTTCTTATAATCTGTCTTACTTTCTGAATCTATTTATTCTTTAGGACTTTCCCTAACTGTAGCAATTTGGTAGGAGCTAGTATTCCAAATAAACATTTTATAAAAAATGTGAGTAGCCAGAATTTCAGGGAGAACATTCTCTTGACTGTCTTTATCTGGCAGCTCTCTTGCTTTGGTTCTTTCTGTGCCAAGACAACCAATCAGCATCTGCTTTGCCCACTCAGCCCAGGTGGGCAGCAGTCCAAAGCCAAACTGACGCCCGAGTGGTCCTTACTCCCGCCACGTTCTGTCCGAACTGTGTACTGTACTCTGCTTTTGGCTGCCGTGCCCCTGCATGCTTTGCGCAGAAGGGCCAGGCCCTTCTCCAGCCTCTAGAAGCCAGGATGCAGATTTTGATAACTTGAATGAAGTTTTGGAGGAACTTTCTCTTGAGACAGTATTTCTAGGTCCACATTTATATGAAATCATATGATGATAAAATTGACAGCTCAGAGTCCTGTTACAGTTTTAAAGATGGACTCAGGGCTGTTGGAGAACTGCTTTTATCTCCCGCGGCGGCACGTGCGGTCAGCCTCCTTATCAGGCCTGCGGGCTGAAGTGTCGATGCAGGGGGTGAAAGCAGCACTCCTCTGAACGCATGCTGAGTTTCTCTGTCCCTGTGTCCTGCTCACTTTGGGCGCGTTACTGTGGAGGACACACATCCCTGTGATTGGGCGTTTCCTTTCCCCGAGCAGCACGCTTGACTTTTAGACACTGGTGGCTTTGCATCTTCGGTGAAGTTCATCCCAGGGCACACTGGCCGCGGGTTGATTTACCGAAACCACCTGCGAATCTCACGTCTTCCAGCGCAGTGGTTCCCGCGCTCACTCTGCGCAGCAGACACAGCACTCCTCAGACGGAGTCCGAGATAAAGCGGGCGAGTTCGCCGAGGGCAGCCGAGGCCCCCAGCGCCTTCGCGGGAAGGCCTCGGCCCTCGAGCGACACCGCGCAGCTCTTGCTGGACAAGGCGGTTCTGAGCTCAACCAGATGATTGGAATTTTATTTTCAAAGTATAGTTTTGTTATTTAAAAAAGTCAATGAAGGCAGTATATACACTTAGATGTTTCTTTTTAATCAACTTAATTGAGGTATAATAACAACAAAAGAAGCCCATCTTAAGGGTCAAGTTTGATTTAGATATTAACACAATATAGCCCAGCACAGTGGTTCGTACAGATGTTAGAATAAAGTTTCTCATGCTGTTTCTGTTTAAGTGAAGATTTCCCTGAGATTGCAGAGAAAATGGTTTAAAACTGTTATTTTGTAACCTCTTATTTGTGGGTATCAAGACTTTTTTCAGTATTATGCAATTAAGATAAAATAGAGAAATAGATTAGGTGTTGAGGCAGATGTTAAGAATATACCTGTCATCTGTAACTTCAGGTTTCAAATTTTGGGTCTCATGAAGGTGGCTTCATTGTTCCATTCACTTACTTTATTAGAATAACTTGTTAGATATTTATAACGAGAAAATGCTATTTAGATTTTATTTTGTGTTAGGGTTCTAAATTAGATTTTAATTTCAAAAAAAGGTTTTGGCCAGGCTCAGTGGCTCACGCTTGTAATCCTAGCACTCTGGGAGGCCAAGGTGGGAGGATCGCTTGAGCTCAAGAATTTGAGACCAGCCTGAGCAAGAGTGAGACCCTGTTTCTACAAAAAATAGAAAAATTAGCCAGGCATGGTGGTGCATGCCTGTAGTCCCAGCTACTTGGGAGGCTGAGGCAAGAGGATCGCTTGAGCCCAGGAGTTTGAGGTTGCTGTGAGCTATGGCGATGCCCCTGTACTCTACGTTGGGCGACAGAGCGAGACTGTCTTAAGAAAAAAAAAAGGCTTCAATACGTCTTTAAAATATTGAAAACTGTCATAGGGAACACATTGTGTTGCTCTGTTGGGCACTCCCATCTTTAGCAGAGGTGACTGCAGGGCATGAATACAGCAGCTTTTGATAATAACCATGTACACAAGGTATTGGGCTTAATTTTTCTCAATATTCACAAATAACATTTAAAACAAGGGTAATGTGGTCAAAGAAAAGGCAAGCGAGGTTAATAGTAACTGCCTCCCATAGACTGAGTCATGTGTTATCAAAAGAATGCAAGGTCAGTGACAGGTCCTAGTCATTCATAGGGAGTGTTCGAATCAAAGTCTCGATGTGGGAGATAATTTGTTCAGGGAAGTGCAATTCTGTTCTTTTAAATATGTATTGTACAGACTATGATTAAACTACTTGCCAGTGTACCTTCCTTGACCGCATTTTTGTATAAAGTGTGCGAATCTGAAAGCCACTGTCATGATGAGTCTGAGTTCTCTTTTATCGTCTTGCTTCTGAAAATGCAGGTGCTGTGTATACACAAAGCCTTTTCCAGATAAAATTGGGCCTTTCAACCTCTGTCCACGTGGCTTCCGGTTAGCTGTGTGACAGGATGTGTCAGTCCCTGGCGCTAGGTCCCTACCGGGATGTGACAGCGCGTTGGGCTGTCTCGTTAGTGAGCAGCTGTCTTTATAGAGGTGGCACGAGACACGCACGTGAGTGACACATCCCACGTCATGGGGGCCCAACTCCCGGGGTCAGTCTTGCGGCTGCGCTGGCCATCGTCTGGTTTCCGGCTGCCAGCTCTGTGGGGTCCTTCAGCAGCAGCCCCAGTCTCCCCATTCTTTTCACACTGCTGCTGTGTTAAGATTTCTACGAGTTTTTATCTTTTTTTTGGCCCACCCAAAACTTGTGTAATCTACAAGTTTTTAATACACCAAATTGTTACCCAGGATTATTGGGGAATAGGATATATTGTTATTAGAAATAGATTAATTTTTATTTTATTTTTTATTTTTTATTATTATTTTTTTTAGAGACAGGGTTGCCTCAAACTCCTGGGCTCAAGCCATCCTTCTGCCCCAGCCTCCCAAGTAGCTGGGATTATAGGTGTGTGCCACCACGCCTAGCTAATGATTTTTATTTTTAGAAAATGATACTAGATAGACAACTAGAATATACTAAAAATAAATAAATTACTGCTTTATGTTTTTTAACCAGTACACTATACCATTCTATTTAGAAGCCCACCTTCGTAATGTGAATATTCTTTCATGGCAATGTAAGGAGATAGATGGCTTTGAAAGTGTTAGAATGCAGTGGAACCTCCCAGGCCCTCGAGCCCATGTTAAATAGAAATTGGCCTGAGTTGGGGGGCAGCCGGCCTTCCCACTGCTGCTTGTGGGCTGAGGTGCTCGGGTGGCGGGTGCAGGGTGGGTGGGCTGACTGGCCCGAGGGGGGCGGACCCGCTGCACTGCCAGCCCAGCCAGGGACATGGGGTGGGGTCTGGGGAGGGGCCTGGCCACCGGGAACTGGAAGGGGAGAGAGAAAAACATGAAATATTTTTGGAATCTGAATGAAATGAGTCTTCTATAATTCTGCCAGGTATCTAGTTCAGGTATATTATAAATAACATTAGTGTAGCACTGAATTTTGAAGTGAACAGCAAGAGCTGCGCTATTTATGGAACTATGTTAGCATCTTAGTATCTTTTTTCTGAAGAGCTTCAAGAAGTTATGTTTTCTTGTCCTCCCAGCATTCTTGAGGTGTTGGTAACAAGTTTTATTTTTCCATTTTAAAGATGAGAAAAATGAAGCTCGGGCTGGTTAAATGACTTGCTCAGCGTCCCATGGTGAGTCCGAGCGGGTGGGGCTCAGGTCCCCGCCGTCTGGCGCTTCTGTCGAGACCGTCGGCTTTCCACTCTGGCAGGACCCGGGATGCGTTGCTGCCGTGGAAATTTATTTTATTTTGGATTGTCAACTGCATGTTTAAAATGTGCTGTAGACTTTTAAAGTCCATGTTTCTTAAAGTTTCTGAAATGTCTAAAATGTGTTTTTAAGAGAACGAGGGTCATACCTGTAGTGTTTTTGGTCCCTGTAGATGTTTTCACTGCAGAATCTTTTATGTACAGTTACTTGTAAAACCTTTTACACTAAGTACCAAGGAGATTTCTAACAAGGTGTTGATCTCTACACACTCTAAAAGGGAGTTTTACTTTGGTGGCAACTGGGAGGCCCAGGGCCTGCTGTGCGGGGCTGGAGGAGCAGGCGGAAGGCCGTGCCCAGAGCCGGAGCCACGCGCAGCGCAGCCAGGCGGTGTGACCTAGAAATACTGTGACCAAGCTGTGCTAGGCGGAGCCTGCTGCCCTTCCGCACCGCGCCTCACGGGGGTTTTCTCTCTCCTTCTGTCTGACAGGCCTAGCCGCCCGCGTGGCTCTCACACTGTCTCCTGCATGACGGGCGGCGCCCCTCCAGCTTTCCTTCTCTCTCCAGTGCTGCCCGCTGTGTCTAGCAGTCCCCTAGGACCTGTCAGAGCTGCACCTCTCTGTGACTGGCCATTCCTGTCTGTCGGTGCTGCTGTCCTTTTGGGGGGTTCTTGGTTTCTGTATACATGTAGCTTTGCCAGATATGTACTTAGTAATATAAACTGTATTAATAAAACCCATTTACTGTGTAACACGCAAGTTTAAAAATTAAGAGCGATTAGCTGTTCACTCTGATAACAGGTAGTTAGAAGTGTCACGCAAGGTGTTATTACAATGGCATGACGGTGCCCTCTTGGCATAACTACGCCCGAGAGTGAGGCATGTGCTGCACGCGCTCCGTGGTACTTAGAGCCCGGGGAGCCTGCCTGGACCCCGGGCTTCCTAGGATACGCCCCAGTAGCATTTGCTGTGTAGTCTGAGTGTGAAATTCGGGCATTCTGCTTTTCTCTACTAATCTTTAAGTGCTCAGTGATTTGTGTATTTGTGTCTTTCTAACTTCTAATAAACTCACTCCAACTGACCTGTATCTTGGTTGTCTGTCTGCTTGGTAGAACTTCTCGCCTGTTCCATGGAATGCAGCCTGGCGTAGCTTCTAGAAGTAACGGGGAGACTGTTAATCTCACTAAGCGATTCATTCTGAGAATAAACATTGCTGAATACACATTTTCTTCACTCTGTGTTTTTGGTTTTCATGTTCAGATACTGTCAAATATTTTACTTATTAATGTCTGAATCAATTAAGATGAAAGCTGGGTACTCTTACCTGCAAGGTGTCTGAGGAATTTTAGTTATTTGTATAGAACAAAGATTTAATTTTCCAACCACATTTATAACCAACATTTAGTGCTACTGTTGTGTAAGATTTACTGACGGAAACAGTGCATCCGACTATTGCACTGAGATGAAATTGTGAAAAGGAAGTTGCCTCTGTCCTATCTGAATGTTTCGGGTCCTGTGCTATTACCTGGATCAGATGCCTACATATTTATTAAATGTGGGTTTGACTGCGGTGACATTCCTAGAAGCTGCCTTAATTTTCGTGAGACTCTGTGTGTTGTTTTTTTGTCTCAAAACAACAATATAGTTCATTTTCCTTTTGGGATGTGATTACTTTTGTTTGAATGTTTTCCTCATGTTCAGATGTTTTTATAATCATTTGATTATCATGAACTTAAAAAGGGTAATTTCTACTTAAAGTATATTTATGTACATGGCAAATTGGTGGCTTCCCCAGCGGGTCCTGACGGGCAGGGTCAGCCTTGGTGTGAATTCGTGTCTGCGTTCAGCTGTGCCTCTTGGGCGGGGGGAACCACCTGAGCTTCACGTTTGTTCACGTTTTTTTCAGGATGGCACTGGATCTTTAAAACGCAGTGGTTCCTTTAGCAAACTCCGGGCTTCCATTAGACGCAGCAGTGAGAAGCTGGTTAGGAAGCTGAAGGGAGGAAGTTCACGGGAGAGTGAGCCGAGGAACCCTGGGTAACTATCTCTGCCGGCCGTCCCGGCGCGCCTGCACGCGGGCCGTGGTGGGCGCTTCTCCTCCTCGCACGGATTTCTCACCCACAGGCTTCAGAAAAGACATTCCAGTTTGGTTCCTGTATTTTAGCAATGGGGAAGTTTAATAGTTTCCGTATAATTTTTTCCCAGGATAAGGTGAGAAATAATTGTGAAACTTCCTGTTAGTGGCTAAAAGGGCTGATAGCTTTAAAAGAAATTTATGGAATTCTTTTATTTTGTTACATGTTCGTAGAAAGCCTTAGTAGTGAAATGGGAAAATTTAATGTTTCTGACATTTAGCATTTTAAGTTTGTTTACTCTAGATGTGCATTATTTATTTTTTGAATTAGCTTTAGTTTAAATCCTTTAAAATTTTAATCTTTTAAAATCAGATGTTAGCTACAACTATATTAAATCTCATACAGATATAAAGGGAGAAAAATGGTTTTAAGTAGAAAGATCAGGCTGGGTGTGGTGGCTCACACCTGTAATCCCAGCACTGTGGGAGGCCAAGGCGGGAGCATCACTTGAGGCCAGGAGTTCGAGACCAGCCTGGGGTAACACAGCGAGACTTTGTCTCTACAAAACTAAACAGATAAATCACAATTGTAGGACTGTATTATATGGAGTTTCTTAGGAGATTTTCAAAACCTTAAGTTTTCCATATGTTTAAGAAAAGGTTTAAGTCATGGGTTGTAGAGTCTTTTGAACAGTAACATTTGAGTTGTCAAAGGAATTTGATTCTGAAGATGGTCTGTGTATCTGCTAAGGCGCATCAGAGGCCTGCGCGTTTGTGCGTCTCTGTTACGTGGTTAACAGACGCCCCGTGTCTGGGTGCCTGGGTTGCCTCTGAGATGCTGTTGGCTGCATTCCTCACGGAAGCACTCTCTCGTCTGTTCTTCTGCGTAACTCTAACTTCCTAAATGGTACCTACTTTTTAAAGATTGAGTTTTTTGTAAAACTCATACTTCAAAAGTGATCCCCTTTAAGTTCTGCGAGAAGAATTCTAATCATCTCAGGACTGTGGAACTGAGTTCCTTTGGAGAATGCACTGGAAATATTGAGATTATGTGCCTTTTCGGTTGTTTTGTTTGTTATTTTGTTTACCAGCTCATTTCTGTAGAGGGAGTTTTCAGAGCTCCATGAATGTTCGTTGTGAAAACCGCCTTGAAGATCCAGTGTTTGTGACCGTCTGGGCTTCCAGAAGTTGGTGCTGACTTAGCAGCAGTTTGCCTGTCATGAGACAAAAGAACTTTTCCTTGGCGGGGGGATAGGTTACACATTGCCTTTGGACTAGTGCTCCAATTTTAAAGTGTTTACAGACTACCAGAACTAAAATGATAGGTCTGCCTCTGTGAATTTTGAAAGATTCTATAAAACTCCTGGCACAAGGTCTGAAGAGTGGCGTGACTGCCGACTTTCCCTCCCTGTGAAAACCTGATGAGTGGCAGTGACCTGTGTACCTGTGTACGTCAGGAGGCCGAACAGCAGGCCGCACACGCCCTGCCCTCTGTGCCCAGGTCAGCACAAGTGGTCTGGGCCGGCAGCCCCAGCGCTGTGGAAACTTCTGAGAAAGGCAAATTCTGGAGGCCCACCCAGAGCTCCTGGACCAGACACCTGGAGGTGGGGCCTAGCACTCTGTTTGAACAAACCCTCCAAAAGATGTTTGAGAACTACTGGAACAGTTGATAAAAACAGTTACTCTTACTTCGAAAGATTTTTCAGTTTTATGCATTTTATGGAATGAAGTTTCCAAGGTCATTTAGAAAACGTCAGTCCACGCGAGTACATGTGTTCATTCCACATCAGTTCAGGTCTGCAGCGGTGCAGCGCCGTGCGTGTTGGTCACAGGTGGCGCACCAAAAGGTTCTGAGAGCCATGGTGGTTTTTGGTGCGGCTTTTTTTTTTTTTTTTTTTTTTTTTTGAGATAAGGCCTTACTCTGTTGCCTGGGGTAGAGTGCCCTGGCATGATCATAGCTCGCCACAGCCTTCAACTCTCAGGCTCAAGTGATCCTCCTGCCTCAGCCTCCCAAATGGCTGGTACTACAGGTACATGCCACCTTATCCAGCTAATTTTTCTAATTTTTTGTAGAGACTAGGTCTCGCTATGTTGCCCAGGCTCAAATTCCTGGGCTCAAGTGATCTTCCCACCTGGGCCTCCCAAAGTGCTGGGATTACAGGCGTGAGTCACTGTGCCTGGCTGAATGCGTATAAATGATGCAATTCAAAAGGATCAAAGAAATGTTGAGTCAAATTGTTCTTTGGTCTTGTAAGGTAAAGGGAGTTTGAGGAAAAGCGTTGTATAGCTTTCTTAGAAAGAGTTAATTGGCCATTTAAATGATAGCAAGAATAATCGAGTATGTCAGAATATCATTTACTTACGTGATTTGGTTTGATTTTTATACTTTGTTCTTGAGTGGTTCTAGGTAGAGAAAACCTTGTTTGGGACTCTAGCAGTGTTTGTACGACCTTCATTGGGATGCTTTTGTTTTGTCCTGGTTGGGATATTTTGAGGTGAGATTTGCTTGGGGATAAGTAAATTAAGGTCTTTGCTTTTGGTGTAGTTTATTCAGTGAGAAGTGGCTGAATGTCTGCCATTTGCCAGGTCCTGTGCTCCTGCTCTGGGACACAGGGGCGGGCACCCTGGGCTTTCCGTCCCCATGCCAGTGTCCCACACCAGTCTACCCCTGGCTGTGCCAGCCTCAGCCCCTGCCCTCGCTCACCCAGGAAGTCTGTGCTCGTGTCTGCTGTTCATGTCGTGTGCAGCTCTTGCTTAGAGTTACAAATCCTGCCGTAAACACTTACAAATAACCTCAGTGTCAGTTACTTTAGCTTCAGAATCTAAGGTGAGTTTATGTCCAAGGTCATCTGTGGTGAGGGTAAACATGACAGTGATTTTACAGCTATCCATAATTTAAATTTAGGTTATATAGGTCATTTGTAGGCTATACTATCACGTATTTTAAAAATATCAAATTGGAGGAAAAAGTAAATAAATATATAAATTCCTGTATTTCTTTAAATGGAGAGCCACGAAATTTGTTCTAAATTTTGGTTTCTAAGTAGAGAAATACTGGCTTCAGAGTTTATGTTACTAATGATAAAATTATTTTTCTTGCTCTTAATATAGAAAGATACATAAATTACAGAATATACGTATACATACATCACCTCTTAACAGCTTTGAGTGTCTCTCTTTTAAATGGTCCCTTACAGTGACGAATCTTACATAAGACATAGGGCTCCTTCCTGAAACTGATCAGGCTGGAGGCAGAGCCTCTCAGCTCCTAGGGGAGCCAGTTTTAAAAAGTGCAAGTATAGCGACACTTTGAGTTTCCACGTGGTCCTTTAAAACAAGCATTTTGCCGTGAAAGATGCAGAGAAATTGCTTTTTTCTCCTGGACGCTAAACAGAATGAGACCTAGGACTTCCCTGGTAAGGACTGGGCGGGATCCTAGTCGGACCAAGATGAAGGTCCCCTTCCCCCAGGGGCAGTCCTGAGGATCCCCCCGGTAGTGACAGAGGCCTTTGCGGGGATAGCTTTGCCTGTATTTCCTATTGCTGGTTGACCAACGTGCTGATCCGTTTGTCCTTGCATGTCCGTGTCGGGGTTGCAGCATGAAGCGCGCCAGCTCTCTGAATGTTCTTAACGTGGGTGGCAAGGCCGCTGAGGACCGTTTCCAAGTAAGGAGCCTACCCCGCCCGGTGCACATCCTGGGCTGCTGGGCTGCGGGCGCAGATCCACCTGGGCCGCCGCTGCTGTTCCAGCAGAGCACTGCGGACGTTTCGGTGTTTCTGTTCTTAGACAGATAGTCCGATAGTATCTTCATATTCTGCATAACTGTGGATCATGTGAATTGTGGGAGTGGTCACACTGAACCTTCTCAGTATATTGTTACAGTTAATGCTCTAATGATCCTCAAAAATAGTTTGACCTAATTAATTTATTGTTAAAGCAATACCAAAGCTTGACCAGTTATGAATGTATATGATTAAGTTATATGATTTCAGCCTCCGATAAGTTTATAACTAATTCATTGTCTAGTTAAGCTATTGTTCAGTGTTTTAAAACTATTTAGAACTTTACTAACACAGTGACTGGACATATCGTCACTTTGACACTAAAATCCTTAGCACTTATTCAGGTCGTCGACGTCTTACACAAACACGTCCTGTTTTGTTTGTTTCTCCCTCGCGTGCGGGAGTTTGGCGTCCCTTCTCCAGCATAGAGCTTCAGTTTTCCTTCCTTCCAACACCTGTATGGCTGTCGGGGCGAGGCCAGCCCTGCCCTGTTTCTCAGGTGCTCTGAGCCGACTCAAGCTGCTGGACTTGGCAGTCACTGCCCCTGTGCTGGTGCCCAGAGTGTGCGACGGTGGCCAGGCTTCCCGTCTCCTGCCAGTCGCCCAGATCCAGTTACTAGAACGTGGGCTGGTTGTCGACAGTACTGGGCCTCCCAGACAGGCCGCCCCTGCCCCCACCTGTCTCCCCAGCACCCTTGGGAGGCTGTTCACCAGGCCTCTGGGTGGCAGCTAAAGAGCTTGTAGGATGCTGGCAGCTTGCTTGAGGCACCCCCAGTAATGACAGGAAAAGAAGGTCTTTCTGTTTTACAAAGGCCTGTAGTTGACCCAGTCTTACACTGGCGTCTTGGTGTGTGCACGCGCACATTTGACCACTGGGACCCTGTGTGCTGCGTTACGCAGCGAGTGTTGCTAGGCTGAGGTCACTTGAATCTGGCATCATTTGAAGTACTGGTTAAGTATAATTTTTCCATTTGTTTTTTCACGCAGGAACGAAATAATTGTCTGGCAGACTCGAGAGCTCTGAGTGCCAGCCACACTGACCTGGCCCAGTGAGGGCCGGGCAGAGTAGGTGACCCTGAGTCTGACGGAGCATGAGGCCCTCCCAGCTCGGCCGCGCCCTCCCGCTGTGCCCGCAGGTGTCAGGCTCACCTTCCGTGGGCAGGGCTTCCTTTTCTAGATAGTGATGTCCACCCACCTCCTTTTAGAAAGACCCAGGGCCCCTGTGCCCCAGAGTTCTGTGAGTGCCCGAGAGCCGAGGCCTGTGTGACCCGGCAGGGCGCAGCCCGGGGAGGCAGATGTGGCGCTGGCAGTGGCTTCAGCACGTTTGGACTCGGCCTCTGCTCACGGACATTGTTGTACCTTCTGCCTGCCGCCTTTTTGCCGTGACGCCAAACTCTGTTTTAAATTTTGAGATTGTAATGAGGCTGTACATTAAGAATCTGAAACTTAAAAGTGCATCTTTTTCAAATGATAAGCATTAGTGATCTGACCTGCTGCAGTAGCAAAGCCTGAAGTTTAGGGGCCAGTGGTTATAAGAAATGAGAAAATGAGTCACTTCCTCCAGGGCTTCACTTCTTCTGGGTCTGTTTCTGAAGTCACAGCGTCTGTGGCCTTGGACGCTCGCTGGGTGTGTGGCTCTCTGGGAGCATCTGGGGTCCCACTCCCACCTCTTCTCAGCAGGTTTTCTCTCTCCTGGTGGCCCCTGGTATACCAAACACATGGAGATATATGTTTGATTTTTAAAAGCTTATTCTTTATAGAGTTAAGTACACGGGGTGGATTTTGACAGGAACGTGACAATCCACCCGAAGGCCTCGTTTCTGTAAGGCCTGGTAGTCTGTAAGACCAGCCAGCCTGTGAGTCAGGGAGAGCAAACAGATGACCAGCTCGTTGCAGATGAGAGCAACCCTCGGAGACTGCGCGCAGCTGGAACACTGAGACGCATCCTCTGGGCTCGAAGGGAGAATCTGACGTCCTGGCCAGTGATCGGTCTGAAACGCTGAGCGTCCGTCAACTGGCAGGTGTTCACTTTGCCTTCACAGCACAGGTGGTGGCACAGGGAAGGCGCCTCTTTCCGTTTGCTCCCAGCTTCTCACACGTCGGGCAAGAGGGGTGGGAGCTCCCCGAGGGGCATGTGGCCTGGGGGCTGCCCCTGCACGGCCCCCAGCCAAGTGTGGACATGGGGCTGACACTGGAATTAGCAGCCCGGGGTTTTGTTACATGGCTAGACCTTAAAATATCCTTAAAAGTTCTATGTCATTTAATATTATCCCCTGTGACAAACTGCTGTTCGTGTAAAGATGTTTGTTGCTGGCGAGTGCTTGGCATTAAGGCTGCCCCGTCGGCCTGACACTGTCCCCGAGTTGGTCACCTTTGGCCATGGCTCTGTTTCTGAGGCTCTTGACTTCCATTTTTGCAGCTTCTGATAGATGAGGAATTTATTTTCTTAATGCGCTCTAGAGGTGTTTAGAAAAATTTTGTGGCTTGTGAGAAGCCGCCCAAAACAAGAGAAGAGGGTAGAGCTGTGTCCCCTCACTGATACTGTGGCTCCTAAAGACCACAGCGTAGGAGCGTTGTGGGTGCCTTGTGACAGTTGGGAGGGCCGAGGGGCTCCCTTCCCCAGCCCCCAAGAAGTCTCTTCTCCAGGCGAGAGCTGAGGCAGTCTTTGAAACCAGACCGTTTCCATTAGCGACAGTTCTCTCTGGGAGACAAAGGGCGTTTAGAAAGAACAAACATGGGCTGAATGCAGGGTTGCATTTCAAGCTCCCGACCGGCCGACAGCAGATGATGCAGCCGTGGTGGGGCCTGGCCCGGACCCAGCTTGCGTCGCCTTTGCGGTGCTGTGGGAACAGAAGCAGGTTCCGGGTGAGAGAAGCCAGACGGCCTCCGTGGCCTCCACGAAGCCAGGCCGAAAAGAAAAGCTCAGGTTTCAGAGGGGAGAGCTGCGTGGCAGGCTGCAGTTTCTGGGTTCTGAACTTGGGTGACATGATAAAGGAAGTGGGTTCTAAGCCGTTTCCAGTCCGGTGGTCTGAATTCGGACATCCTGGGAGAGAAGTGCGGGCCGGCCATCCCTCCTGTTTCCTTCTGATGAGGGGACCCCAGTCGAGAGCCAGCACCTGTTTCTTCGCGGTTTCCGTCACATAAATGTACACGTGACCAGCGGCAGAGGCGGTGGGCGAGAGCCGAGGTGGCCTCTGCGCAGCAGTGCCTGCCGTCCTGGGTCCTGTCCCGGCTCCAGCGACTGTGCCCAGTGGAGTCTGTCCAGGTGGACATCCTGGGGAGCTGTGGCCAGCGGCGCAGCTGACGTGGCGCCAGGCCCCGCGGGGTCTCTGAGGCACAGGCCAGCCCAGGGCAGTGCTTGGTCTTGTGTTTACAGCATTGGAGGAATTCAGATAGTGGTTTTCTGGAATTAAAAATAACTGTTTGGTTAGAAAGCTGCTAGGAATATTATGTTATTAGAAATTCAGTATTTATAGTAAAATTTATTAAATGTTGCTAAGGATATATGTTTACAGTTCCTAGAACAGAGTTTTCCAGTGTCATAACTTTGTGGAGTTTTCTTGGAAGGCACGTTACATATGTGAAACTAATATCTGTTAGTTCATATTTGCACTTACTTTGAGCAATGTGTGCCCTATGCTCAGATTCCTGAAAACTGTAACGTGGCACCTAACAGCACTGACCAAAGCAAGGCTGCAGCCGGCTCTGACTTTCCGGATTAGCAACACTGTACACAGCTGGGCCAGCAGTTTCAGGACTGGCACGTAGATGTCTGTACCTCCTGCTGACAGTTAGTTCCCCGACTCTGTGGGGACGAACTTCAGCGGTGGTGTGTGTCATGCTACGAGGGCTGCAGCTCTCCGAGGTCAGCAGATGGCCCGAGGGAGGGTCTTAGAGAGGCCTGAGGGCCCCGGGCGGGACCAGGGCTCCCCAGGTGGGCCTCTGCTCTGCCCTCCTCGGGTGACCCGTGGTCCTGGGATGACCTAGAGGCCGACCCCTGCAGACATGCTGGCTCTGTGGTGGGGGCACCGCTGGGAGGGTGAGGCCCCTCACCCAGGGCAGGTGCCAGCTGTGCTCACAGGCACGTCTTCTATGAAATGTACCTGTCTCGGAGCTGGAGTTTTATCTTCCAATTGTCGGTATAACTTGCCTAGAAAAACATTTGGAATTGTTTATATTTAATTACAAAAATAAAGTGTTTTATTTTCTGGTGTAAAGTCCCTGCACATTTGCAGAAAAGCTGTTTTATAAAAATCCAATCCCAAAAATGTCTTCTTGCTATCTTTATGCCAGGGATTAACATTTCTGGGGCTGTAGGGAGCCATGACAATGTGATGACGGTGTTACATGGGCTGCCCGCCTGGACGCAGGCCCAGACGGGACCCACCTGCGCGGCGCGGGAGTGCGCCGACCCCAGCCCTGGCCGGCGAGTGCCCTGAAGGCTGAGCCTAGGGGCCAGCGTCTGCCTCAGGCTTGTAGGAGAATAGTCAAGCTACTGGGCTGCCCTGTGCCTCAGTTTCCCCACCTAACAGCAGGGGCACGGAAACAGTACCTTCTTCAGTCCCAGTGAAGAGAACTGAAGCCCGTGTGCATAAATTACCGAGCACTGCCCGCAAGCAGCGAGAGTCAGGCGCTGCCACTGCACGCACTTAGCCCGTTTATTTATCAGAGGCCTACTCCATGCCAGGCACTCCATGAGATGGTCACAGCCCTGCCTAAGAGGCCACACCCGTCGGTGATCTCTGGGCCTTGTGTCTCTGGTCAGATTCCGGAGTCCGCAGCCAGATGTTGTTGCCGGGAGGCTCTGCTCTCTGGCTGGAACAAGGCCTGGCCACAAGTGTGGGTCTGGGCCTGCAGTGGCCCTGCCAGGCGTCCTGCCGCATCCGCGCCAGGGTGGATGTTGCCCCAGGCCAGGGCTGCACTGACCTCCAGAACCCTGGGGCCAGGCTTGGGGGCACCGAGGACACGCAGGACGCTGCCTTCGGTTACAAATCAGATCCTCTCTGCACACAGCAGTTTCCCAGCAGAGCCCCGAGGCTGCCTGTGCGCCTTGGGCCGGTGGTGTCGGTGGCGCGAGTGACGCACAAGTCCAGTCCGTCCCACTCCCACCCCTTCTGGACTTGCAGCCTGAGGGTGGCTTGATGCACTAAACTCAGGTCTTAGGGGTGAGGTGTCTGCCCGTGGGGAACCAGCTGACTGCAGCCCACTGTGGCCTGAGCAGTAGGGTGGGCTTTGGGAGGGAGACTGAGGACCACCCTGCCTGGAGGAGGGGAGGCTGCTTCGGGCAGGGCCCCAGGCCCAGGACAGGCTTCGACCCGGCTCCTGGTTGGTGTCAATGTGGAGAGCAGAACCGGGGCAGCAGGGAGCCACCGTGGACACCCCGGTTACCGGCCCCAGTGCATCAGCCATCCGCAAGGGCCGGCTAGGCCGTGTGGGAACCAGCGCCGAGGCCCAGCAGGCCGGGCAGAGGGGAGAGCAGCCCGTGCCGGGTGGGGAAGGAGGGCCTGAGCTAGGGGCTATGCCAGGCCCAGGCAGCCTCTGCCAGGTGGGGAGTCTCAGGCCTGGCCAGGCTGTTCTGTAGCCACCACCGTGTCAGTGGCACTCGGTCCCAGGCGTCCCTCGCACCCCTTCTGCGTTGACCGTGTAGGAACACGAGGAGGAAGGCAGGTGGGGGGCGAAGAGCACTCGCAGGGTCCGGCCAGTCGGGCCAAGGGTGGCCTCCTCGTCCCGGAGCCGGTCTGCCATCAGTCTCACAAGGAGCTGGTCGGCCCAAGTGATGCCGAGGGCTGGACAGACGCGCTCGTCCCAGGAGCTGGGAAAGAGAACAGGCCCGATGCAGAGGACACCTGGCAGCCTCACACCCGCGCACTGAGGTGCACCCGAGATGCAGCCACACTCACCCCGGTGGCCTGGGCACAGTAGCCGGCTCCTGCACCACCTCCGTCACCTGGAAGATCCAAATCTGGGTCAGCTACAGCAGCTGAGGGTTTTCCTGAAGTTCCCAAGTTATCAACACAGGGAGGCACAAGCTGCCGCCCACCCATGCTGGCTCTGCTTCCCCTGGGTCCTTGCCCGGCCCACCTGGTTGATGCACAGCACAGGGCTCTGGAAGGCGCAGCTCAGCCGGCGCAGTGTGGCCCCCAGCAACTGCAGACGCCTGGCCCTGGGGGCCGAGGCCTGGCCGTCAAATTCACAGCGGAATGGAGCTGCCACCGAATCGATGACCACCAGGCGGGCCATGCCCCGAGACAGCAGGATGGGGACCTTCTCACTCACACACTCCAACAAGGTGTCCTGTGGCACGAGGGGACAGCAGTCACCCCACTGTGGCCCACAGCCTTCCAACACAGCCCTGCCCGCTGCCTCCTGCCCAGCTGGGGCCAGTGCTGCACCCGAGCCCAGTTCTGTGCTGGTGGCCCACCGCTGCAGCCCTCTTTGCGTCCTTGGGGGTGTGGCCCCTCCTCACCTTATGCTGTGGTCTGCCCCCTTGTCCCCCCTCAGGTCAGCACAGTGGCCAGTGCCCTCCTTCAGTGGCCCCACACCAGGTGCTGAGACCACTTGGACTCAGCCGCATCTCCAAGGCCAGCCTGTGAGTGCCTGGGGCAACTGGGTGGTGCCCTCATCAGGCAGCTCTAGATCTTGCCCTGCCTGGCCACTCAGCAAGGGGGGGGCAGATGCCCTCAGGCTGTCACCCAGGCCAGTCAGGATGGCCTGCTTCTGGAGCGGGGCGGGGCAGCGCCCCAAGTGTGCAGGGGCCAGGCTGCACCCAGGTGGGGCTGCGATGGAGACACCCGGGGCCAGCCCCTCCCTTTCCCCAAGGCCTCAGCCCTGTGTCCTAAGCAGCCCTGGCCTGGCGAGGGGTGGAAGCACTTCCTGAGGAGGGCAGGTGTCCTCAGGCCTCCCTTTTGGAGCCCTGCGCCCCACAGAGCTCCAGCAGAGCTAGAGGCTGCGGAGGCGGTGGGGAAGGAGCATGTGGGAGGTCGGACAGCTGCTCCTGGGCACCGAACTGGGCAGGATTCAGTCCTCTTGGGCCTTGCCAGTTGCTCTGTGGCCGTAGATGGGGGCTGGGCAGGCCTGGGCACAGACTAGGGTGGGTGAGGGGCTCCCACGCTGCCCCTTGAGTGCAGGGCCTGCAGCGAGCGCTGGCCGCGTGTCTGAAACTCTGGAGACGGTGGAGGGTGTGCTGCCAGCCCCCACTGAAACATGTCTGTGCTTCGTCTCCAGGGCGTCCCCAGCTGAGCCTCTCTTTGTGGAGAATGACAGTGGCAGCAGCAGCCTAGAAGATGCTTCTGCTAACGTGAGCTCTGTGCCCCCTACGTCCCGTGAAGCAGGCAGAGTGGGTGCGCGGGGCCAGGGAGGGATTTCGGGCACTGGGTCTCCAGCGGGGCCTGGCTCGGACGACCCAATCCTGCCACGAGGGCCCAAGGAGGCGGAAGGGGGTCGGGGTGGTCCAGGTCCTGCTTATGCAGAAGCAGGGGCTCTGTGTCCGCACCCACGGCCTCCCCGCTTTCAGGTGCAGACCCCTGGCGTTCCAGGGAGTAGACACCGAGAACGCGAGGGTCCCCCGCGACCTCTTGGCCCCAGGGAGGCGTGCACCCAGCAATCCCATTTTCTAGGCAGGTTTGGGGTGCGGGGTGCCCCCAGAGAGCTGGTTCCAGAACAAGATTTAGGAACACCGCTGCGAGGTCTCTGCGGCCTGTCCTGACCTTTGGCCTTCTCTTGCAGTGACCCCTGCCTGGCCTGCTCCAGGACGAAGCTGCTGTGCAGGCCCCGGAGCTGCCCAGGGACAGCCAGGGCGAGGCTGGGAGGGCCTCTGGCTGGAGCCTGCAGCCCTAACGCCACCTGTCCCCGCCCACGTGCGCGCGGGCGCCACCCTCAGCCACCGCAGCAGGGGACCTGGAGCAAGGCCAGTGTCTGTCCCGGACCTGCTGGGCCCCCGAGGGCCACTCCCCCGCATTGTGTGTGATAATGTATTCTATTGTAAATTTTTTTTAAATTAAAAGTTTATATGCTTTATGCTTTACTCAAAGTTATAACCACTCTTAAAAGTGGGGGAGGCCCAGGCAGGGGCCCCCAGGTCGGTGGCACCGTGGGCGCTCCCCACGCACGCGGCGCCACTTCCTCATTTACTTCCGGTGTGCGGGTCATTCCCGCCCTTCCCGTTTTCCTTGGGAATCCTTTCCCGGCGGCGGGGAGGAGCCGGGGGTTCTTTCCCGCTGGGGTCCCTCCCCCAGGTCCCTCCCGGGAGCCGCGTGGCAGTGCCGTGCGGGGAGCCCTGGGCCTCCTGCTCGGAGGCGGGAGGGGCGGTCCCCACGGCCCCCCGCCCGGAGCGCCTGTGCCGGGACGGACGACGCGCCCGGGTAAATCTGAACTCCAGGTACCAGTAGTGTTGGCCTGAACCCGGGGCACCCTGACTCGCGGACGCGGCGCTCCTGCCGGGCCCACGGGCACAGCGCCCGGGCCGCCCCGCACGTCCTCGCAAGTCCAGGCTCCGCAGGGAACCGCCACGTCCCTTTTGCAAGAAGCCACACTCCGGGTCTGACCCGGTTCTCCGCCCCCAGGGGCGTCTGATCCCCGCCGCCTCCAGCCAGAGCCCCCGCCCCTGCCGTTCTGAGTGGCGGATTCCCCGCCGCTGCGCGCGCCCTGCTCCTTGGCTGGAAACCGCCGTGTCCCCCACGAAGTCTGCCCCACCTGCCTTCACGGCAGTCACTGAGTTTTTAACACTTCCCTTAGTGCCCGCGGGAGAAAGCGCGGGACGCTCACCACGTCAGCCGCGTGCTCCACGAAGACCTGGCTGCCGAATCTGATCCTCCGGACCACCTCCCCGGGGACGTCCGCGCGCAGCTGCTGCTGCCCGGCGATGAGCTGCTGCAGCCGCCTGTCTGGGAAGGCGTCCTCCGTGCAGATGTAGACGGCCCCTGCGAAGCCCGCGCCGCGTGCCCAGAGGGTCTGACACAGGCCTGTGGCCGCCACGCAAACTAAACGCGAACGTCTCCCGCCATTCTCTCTCTGCCCTCGCGGGTCCCCACCTCCACCTGAGGAGGGGCAGGCTGGTGCTGGTTCTCACTCCCACCTGCGCCACCCTGCCTGCCAGGCAGCCCCTAGGAAACACGCTGAGCCTCCACCCCCGCCCCGGGGTGGGTGCTGGGCCTGTTCTGGGCGCCGGGCCAGAATGGCCAGGTGGCCGCCTCTCCAGGCCAACCCTGTCTCTCTGTCCCACCACCCCTTTCTTCCCCCATCTCCCTGGCCCTATCACGGGGCAGGGGAGCAAGTGGAAGTATGGGGCCAGCAGACTTGCAGGAACACCCCCTCCTGGACACAGAGACCCTCAAGGCTCCACCGAGCAGATGTCCCCTCTATTCCACTCCAAGGCTCCCCTGCAGCCTGGGCTGTGGTGATACCTGTGTCTTCGCTGCGGTGTGAAAAGCCAGTAATGACCAACTTAGTCACCTGGAGCCTCCACAGCCCCTGGGGCAACACACCGGCCTGGCCAGACCCTGCACCACAGAATGCGCCGAGAATCCCACAGCTGCAAAGGGCCAGGGGCCACCTGAGACAAAACCTTACATCTGTGAGCAACGATTTTCAGCAGATGCCAGGACAATTCATCGGGGAAAGAATACCTTTTCAACAAATCGTGTTGGGACAACTGAATATCCATATACGAAAGGATGAAATTGGACCCTTACCTCACACCATAAACAAAAGTTAAATCAAAATGTATCAAATATGAGAGCGAAAACTATAAAACTCTTAGAAGAAAATATACAGGTAAGTCTTCATGACTTTAGATTAGGCAACAGTTAAGATACAACTCCAAAAGCACAAGTAACCAAGGAAAATAAATTGGATTTCATAAAAATGAAAAATGTTTGTGCTTCAAAGGATGCTGCCAAGAAAATGAAAACACAACCCAAAGAAAGACTGTTTGCTAATCATGTATCTGATAAGGAATTTGTATCCAAGATACATAAAGAATTTTTATAACTCAAAATCGGCAAAGGATCTAACAGACATTTCTCCAAAGAAGACACACGAATGGCCAATATGCAAAAGAAAAGATGCTCAACAGCATTAATGATCAAGGAAATGCAAGTTTAAACTACAGTGAAATTCCATTTCACACCCACTAGGGTGGCTAAGATAAAAAGGCAGGTGTTGGTGAGGATGGGGAGAAATGGGAGCCTTCACCAGTGCTGTGGGAATGTACAATGGCACAGCCGCGGTGGAAGAGTCTGGCAGTTCCTCAAAAGGTTAAACGGAATCGCCACATGATCCAGCAATTCCACTTCCAGATACATGTGCATAAGCCTAGAGAAGCGCAAACGCACGTCCACTTAACGACAGCACGTGAGTGTTCCCGGCAGCAGCGCTCACGACCACCAACAGGAGACGGGAATGCCCACCCACCGCTGAGCGGGTAAACACGAAGTTCCGACTCGTGCTACGTGAACCCTGGCGACACTATGCCAAGTGGAAGGAGCCAGTCACAAAAGGTCACAGTGATACTGTATGATTCCACTTATGTGGAATGTCAGGAGAGACAGAAAGTACAGGGGTCGCTGCCAGGAAGAGTGGGAGTGCGTGCCAATGGGTAGGGGCTTCTTTTTGGGATGATGAGAATGTTCTGGAATTGGATAGTGGTGGTGGCTGTACAACCTTATGAATATGCTCAAAACCACTGAACTGTACATTTTAAGAGTGAATTTTTACGGTATGTGAATTACATCTCAATTAAAAAAACCAAAAAACGAGGACAGCCATGAAGCTCTCCCAGCTGAAACTGTCAGAGTTCAAGAGCGAGATGGGAATCCCGTGGCAACACCACCACGTTTTATAAAAACGAAGGAGCTACTAAGAAACATGTTCACTCTGCTTGTGGCTCACATCTTGAAAAACTTCTTGAATTTTGAACCCTTGAGAGACCCGAGCAGCCGGGCTTCGGAAGCCTCCCTCAGGCCGCGAGAGTGCCCGGTCCAGGAGCGCGAGGACCCGGCCACCCCACCATGCCAGGCTGCAGACCACACTCCTCCCGAAAGGACACGCTGCGTCCTTCCTCCCGCACGCCTGGCTCTGTGGGCCGGGAGTGCACAACCATGGGGTCCACAGCTGCGTGCGCAGCCCGTGACCGGGCCCACCTGCCCTCCCACACGCCCAGCCTCCCTCCCCTCCCCTTCTGGAAGGAGGGCAGCAAAGCAGCCGCACGGAAGGAGGGAACGGCAGGAAGAGCCCGGGAGCACCCGTTATCCATCCTTGATGGGAAGCTGCCCAAACAGAGAAGGCCCCCAGCCCCCGGGGCGGGGGTAGCCACTCACCAGCCTCCAGGCCTCCGTGCCGCCGCGGGAACTGCACGGCCAGGCAGAGCTGCAGCGCCAGCTGGGTCTTCCCGGCAGAGCTGCGGCCGGCCAGCTCGGTGATGCCCGCCAGGGGCAGGCCGCCGCGGAGGAGCCCGTCCAGGACCGGGCAGCCCAGGCTCAGGCGCTGGTGCTGCTCGGGGAACCTCTCCTTCTGCCGGTGCAGGTGCAGCGCTGCGGGCGGGGGTGGTGTCAGGCCCGGCTATCCTCCGAGACCACTGGCCTGTGGGCGAGCTGGGGGCTGTGGGAGGCGCTGGCCACCTTCCCTGTGTGGCCAAGGGACAGGTGACCGTGGACACACGGGGTGGGCAGGGTGCTGAGGGCAGGGAGGAGGCTTAGACTTCTCAGCAATTGCCGGGAACAATCCGCCTGCACGTTCTCCCAAGGAAGGACGCGTGTGCCGCGGAGGGCCAGGGCCAGAGCTGGAAGCCTTCTGCCAGCTGCTTCCAGAGGGACCTGGGGCTCCTGACAGCCCCAAGAGGATAATCTCAAACTGTGATGGTCCCACGGTTGGTTAACAGTTTTGAATAGGCTTTAAACTGGCCCAGACATCAATGATGTAAAACATAAAATCCACGCGTAAGGCAGAGCCTGCGGCAGGCGGCACAGCCGTGGCCCCTCTGGGTGCCGCAGCCTAACTCTGGTCATAGCCTCTTGGCACCAGGGCCTTGGAAAAGCCATCTGATGCCTCCTCCTCTGTGACACCAGGACTCCTGGGGCGAGGCTCCAGGTGGGACACGTGGCGCCAGCCGAGCTGAGGGATGGCATGGGGTCACTGGGCCAGGAGGGCCAGACCCATCCGCTGCTCGAGCCCTGCCCCAAGAGGAGTAGACATGTGACAGTGGCAGTGGCCAGGAGCCCTGTCCAGACTGCTGAGCAGAGGGGGCCGTGGGTGCTGGCCCACCGCAGCAGTCCCAGATTTAAGGTGATCCACAGGGCCCTAGGGACCACTGAGCCACCTGCCAGGGCAGGAGGACCCCATGCTGCCACGCAGGGCCTGCTAGGCTCGAGATGGAAACCCTGCCTGGCCAGGGGTCGCTGGGAGCCAGCAGACCGGACTCCCTGACAAGGGAACTGGCCACCCCTCCCTCACCTGCAGGCCTGGGGGCCACCTGCCAGGACGGCTGAGACCCGGGTTTTCTGCACATGGTGGGGGGACCACAGGCAGGTCCCTCTGCTGCCCCAGGCCTCTCTGGCCAGGAGCCCATCCCAGCTGCTGTACTTTGGGTGCCACTGTCCTATCTTCCGCCCCCTGCAGGCAGGCCAGAGGGGCTCTCGCTCCCACTGCTGCCACGCGGCTGCCTCCCGCGCCCCCACCTCATCCCTTCTCCTATGGCCCGAGAAAGTGACCCAAGGAGCAAGGGACCCTAGGCCCTGCAGCCCTTCCGTGTCCACCCAATGCGTCCTCTGATCTGACACTGTGACCACGGCCCATGGAAGAATACAAGTGAGACCGGAACTCCTGCACAGCGAGGTCGTTCCTTAGGTGGAGTCTTTGCACACAGCCCACACCCTGCAGCGCGTGGAGTACGATGACAGACCCCATGGCAGCAAAACCCCAGGCCACCGGCCAGCACTGACATGCTCACGCCCACCTGTGAGGACGCTGCCTCCCCGCAGGTGTAAGGAGGCTGCTCTCAGCACGTGCTGGACATCGAGGCTGGACAGGGCGGTCACTCTCTGCAGGTCTGGTCCAGAGAAGTGCAGGACCTCCTTCACTGACCTCAGTCTGGCTGAAATTACAGACAGGGTTCAGGGAAAAGACTCCAGTGGCACAAAGCTGCACAGCAAGGATAGGTGCTTCATAAGAACACGGTTGACACCAGCACGGAGGTTTCCGCCGCCCACCCGCGGTCCGCACAAACGCTGCCGTGGGGTGCTGGGGGCAGCGGAGGGGACACATGGGGTCAGTGGGGTAGCAGCTCAGAAGCAGAGGTCGAAGGTCCTTAGGACTGCTATTTTGACAGGCAGGTAAATAAGTTAATTTTGGGCCTGGATAAGTATATCACTTCTAATTTCAAACTAGTAGAAAGAAAAAAAAATGTTACAAATACATCCAAGCAATCCAGAAGGTGGGGAGCGAGAACACAGGGCACCCCAGGACGTAAGGCAGTGTCCAAACCCAGACCGGTCAGAAATCCCCCAGGAGGCGACAGAAGGCGCCAGTTAAGACAGTGTCAGACTGGACAAAAGAAAACAAAACACGACCACTGATAAGCTCTTTGAAGAAGCTACACAGAAACATCAGGTGACGAAAGGGTAGGAGTAAAAGCTCAGGCAGGAGCTGTGGAGTCAACAAAGCGTGTTCACGGGAAAAGCTGTGTGGGAGGAAGGTTCTGTCAGGGCGGCCAAGGGCTTGGCCTGGGACCGGGTCTGTGGCAAGACGGCTCCCCCTGTCGAGCCTCAAGGCCCAGCCCCCTTCACAGCCGGAGGTCCGAGGCGCTTCTGGAAAAATTCATTTTCTGAGAAGAGACACAGGTGAAAAAGGAGTCCCTGGCAGAGTCCGTCCCCCTGCTCTGTCCTGGGTTGCAGGCGTCCTGTCTGCAGTGTGGCAGCCACTCTGTGATCCTGAGGCTGCGAACAGGAGAATAAAAAAACAATGGCCAAGGATGGAGGAGCGGCACAGCGCGCCTGGCCCGGTCACCACCTGCTGCACCTGCCTCCACCTGTACTCAGGGTTCCTTGCTCTCCTAGTGTTCTGGCGTCCCCAGGAGGTGGGGAGAGTGAGGACAACGGCCTGCAACGGGGCCGGGGTAGGGCTTGGGATGGAGCAGCAGGAAGACACCAGGGCAGGAGGGCATTTGGGGAAGGGCCAGTGGTGCCACACAGGCCCACTGGAGGAGGTGGGGAAATCCGTGTGAACTACACGGAACACTTGGCAGAAAACGAAGCGGCAACTACTAACTCTGGGCGCAAACAGTTCCCCGCCCCCACCACGCCAGGCTCGCCAAGGGCTCGGTCACACCCCTGACATGACCCCAGCTGCGTCCTATGGGGGCAGAGGCAGCCACGGGTATCAATAGCGCCAACCATCAAACACGGGAATAAAAGCACAGTACTGAGGAGCCCACATGTAAGTATTTTTAAATCACTAAAAGCGCTAAAAGACTCCTAAGTGATTCCGTTTCACTTTTTAGACAATATGCACCTATTACTTTGATAAAAATCAAATTAACTTTAGACAACAGAAACACAACTGGAAAACCCGCAGCATGTCCCAGCACTGGTGCAAGCAGGACCGGGTGACCTGTGGGGAAGTGTCAGCAAAGGGAGGCAGTCCCAGGCGTGGACAGCCAACGTTTTGTTAACTTGCGTTACATGAAGTGTGCACGCACGCCCACACGTCTTACATCACGTTGCTACTTTGTATAAATATAAACAAACATACCTTTCTTAATTGCAGCGATAATTCTGGGGTTCAGGTCCAGTAGATCCAAATCCATTTCTTCAACAGGTTGACCACCAAATTCCGAGGTGCTCGCCCACAGGTCAAACCGCCTGCAGGAGGCCCACGAGCCAGAGAAGTGAGGGTGAGCGTGCCAGGGAAGGGGTGTCGCTCCCCACCTGCCGTCCTCACCGTCCGCGGCCACCTCTCACGGGGGACGGGAGACGTCACTGCACCGCGAACACCGGCTCTGTTAGCGTGATCTACCTCCAAGAATTATCTGGTAATTTAGAAATCTGCACTCATTCCAGACACTGACGCAGCTTAAAAAACACCCCCAGCCCACCATCGTTCTGAAGGTCAAGACGTGACGATTCGTCCCCACAGGTGTTTACTCAGCCGTGAAGAGAAATGATTAATGTCCTTCGCAGCAACTTGGAGAGAACTAGAGACCATTAGCAGAAGTGAAGTATCTCAGGAACAGAAAAACAAACACTACGTGTACTCTCTAGTAATTTGAAGCTAATCGGGGGGCACAGAGAGAAGTAAAGTCATTGGAAATCCAGAAGGGGGAGGGGAGGAGGAGAGGGACAAAAACCTACCTAACAGGTACAATGAACACTGGTGACAGGCACACTTACAGCCATGACTTAGGCATTACAGAAGTAATCCATGTAACAAAAACATTTGTACCCCCTTCAAATTTTGAAATTAAAAAAAAAAAAGGTGTTAGAAGTACACCCTCCCCCTGGCTTCCAGGTGAGCTCTCCCCGACTCATCTCTCCTGAGATGGGGACAACGTATACAGCCCCAGATCTACTCATACTGGGCCACTTGACTGAAGTATCTTTTGCATTTTCCAGTTTAATTTCCCTTAAATGTGTTTCCATGAGGATTCTGGAAAGAGTGAAAGAGGTGAGCTTGGGATTTTGTAGGGTGCTCAGGGAATCAGCCTCATCGGCCACCAAGCTGTTTCAGCACACAATGGAAGACTGTCCCGCAGGGCTGGAGGAAGGCCGTGCCAGCATGTGGGCAGCCCCCTCCTGGGAAGGGGAGCCCCTTCCACAGCCTGAGGCCAACTCAGCCTGTGGAGAAACGCTTTTCTCCCCGCCAGCCTTGGCTGGCTGTGCAGGGACTCAGCCCAGGGTCACGAGAGCCTTTCCAATGGGCCTCTCCGTGTTCCCCCAAACAGCCAGGCCGGGAACGCAGAGTGCGTGCCAGGAAACGCTAAGGCCAGCGGCCTCGAGGGCAGAGGTCAGGGTCAATGTCCACTAGGGAGGCCCAGCACTGTCAGCTACAACTCAGCTGACAGAAGGCGAAGCCACTGTGGACTCTGAGGCGTCCCCTTGCAACACTAGAAGGTGACATGGGCCTGAACGATATATTGGTTTTGAAGCCTCAGGAACCAGGTCACTTGCATTCCTACATTCTCACAGTCAGGCCTGGCACTGGCAAAGCTGAGACGTGGAGCAGGGACAACAGAGCTCCAGGCCGAGGGCAGCTCACGGGGACAGGAAGGAAGAGCGCCCCTGGCACCACTGTGCCCCATTAACCACGTCCCGTGAGGGCGCTGGTCTCACGTTCCGGCCTGGAGCAGGGGACAGGGCGGACAGGAACAGCCCAGGCCGGACAGGAGCCGCCTTTGTTGGGCGGGCCACAGGCCAAGGGGGAGGCGGGATTTTAACTAGCTCCAAACGTGCTGACAGAGCTGGCCAGTGTGAGGAAGTCACGTTCCTGAGGACAGAGAGCAACTAAAAAAGAGAAAATATCACCTCCAGGAAACGCACCATGTAGTCAAAGGAGCTGTGGCTGGGCCCCACCTGGCTGAGCAGGGGTGCATTTTCAAAACTCTGAGGACAGGAAGAGGCCTGGGGGCGGGGTGGCGCTCAGGGGACCCTGACACCCTGACACACCTGAGGCACCACCCCAAACACGGCCCCTGGGCAACAGACAAATCCCCAGTCTGCTCTCACCTGCCCTGTGCGACTGTGCAAACAGGCCGCCAGCTGTCGGTTCTGCCAAGCAGCTGCTCAAGGGCACACGGCTGCCACACCTCCAGCTCTCCTCCGGCACCTGGAAGCAGAGCGACCGCTGACTTATGACAGATTCCCTGCCTGACCAAGTTAAGCTCCTGAACTTTCTGCTAGGCCCGTATGTGCACGTCCTTGTAAAATCCAGTTTCAGTTTAGGGAGAACCCCCCGCTCTCCGTATCTGGTCACCCTCGTGTCTGACGGGGTTACCCACCGGCCAGGGGGTCTGATTCCCCCGCTGCCTCCAGCCAGAATCCTGTTAGGTCAGTTCAGCCACAAGCCCTCACCCCTGCTGTTCTCTCTTAGTAATTAATTTCCACCCGGTGACCCCCACCCTGCTCCTTGGCTATAAACCGCACTTGCCCATGCCGTGTTCCGCGCTGAGCCCGGTCTCTCCCCCGCTGCGAGAGCCCGTTGCCATGGTCCCCGTACGCAACGCGACGGTCCTGATCAAGTCTGCCCCACTGTACCTTAACGGGTGGCTCTGAATAGCTTTTAACAGTGGACACCTGGTATGTCCCAGCCACTGGCCCAGGGGCTTAAGGGACAGCCCCACTGGGGTGCCCTGTCCTCCCGCCCCTGTGTGGGCGGCGCCCCACAGCAGGCAGGGGACAGGCCCCAGACACACCAGTGTCCTTCTGACACCGCGCTAAGCCCTGATTTCCGGGGAGAGGTGACATCATGCGCCGCGAAGTGAGTGGGGGCGCAGTATCAGTACCGGCTGTCGGCCCGCGCGCGAGACCCCGGAACCCCGTTCTCTGGGGCGGCCCCAGCCTTCCCCGGCCCATCGGGCCCTCGCTCCGCTGTCCCTTCTGCCCGTTCCCCGCAGGGTCCTAAGCCGGGATCCCGGGCTGGTAGCCGGGCGCGGGGACAGTAAAGACCCCGTCCCCTTCCTACCCTCGCCAGGCCTCCACCCCGCCCACGGCCGCCCAGACCCCCGACCCCGCTCGCGCGACCCCCGGGTCCGCCATCCCGGGGCCGCCAGGACCGGCGCTCTCACCTTCTGCGCGCGCCTCACTCGTTTTCGCGCCGTCCCGCCCCTCTCAGCCTCCTCTTCCAATGAGCGCCGGGCGCCCTGCACGGGCTACGCCAATCAGAGACGAAGCGGCGTCTATATGGCTAACTAGCTGACCAATTCAAAGTCTCAATCGCTCCGAGAGGGGTGGAGCGTTTCGGGGCCAGCCCTCACGGCCGATTGGTGATCGACGGCAGGGTGGCGGGGGCGGTGCCCTTGCACGGATTGGAGAAGGCTGTGATGGGGCGGGTCCGGAGCTCCTATTGGTCCTCGCTTCGGGGCGGGCTTGCCGATTGGGCGCCGGCGCTGTCACCCGTGCGCGGGGCGGGGCGGGCGGCGCCACCCAGCTGGGTGAGGGGCCCGGGTGCGGGGCTGCGGGCGAGAGGCTGAAGTGCCGTCATGTCCTCGGGGGTGGCCGCGCGCCGCGACGCCAAGAAGCTGGTGCGCTCCCCCAGCGGGCTGCGCATGGTGCCCGAGCACCGCGCCTTCGGGAGCCCGTTTGGCCTGGAGGAACCGCAGTGGGTCCCGGACAAGGAGGTACGTGGCCGCCCGCCCTGCCCCGGCCGGGCCTCCCCTCGGACCTGCCCCCGCCCGGCCTCCCCGGGTCCCCGGCCGCCGCGCCTGCCCGCCCCGGCTTCCCGACTCCCGCCGGCGTCCCGCCCCTGCCGCCTCCCCGAGGCCCCATTCCCCAGCCGACCTGGCCTGTCGCTCCCCGAGCACCCCCAGGCTTGCCCCGGGTTCCCCAGAATCGCTCCTCTGGCCCCTCCGCCCTGGTGGGGAAAGGGGCGTCTGCGGGGGTCCCGGGTTTGAGCAGGGCTCTCCGGACGGGAGCGGGAGGTGCGCGTCCTGCACCTTCCCAGGTGCGAGACTCACCTCCCGCAGTTTCATTCCGGGCACGTTCCCTCTGAACTGGCCACGCACCTTTCCTCGCCGCCTCGGCGTGCCGTGAAGGGTAATTGAGCGTAACGTGCAAGCATGTTCTGTACTACGGAACCGCGCGCTTACAGTGGTTACGATGGTGAACTTTGAGCATTTTACCAAAGTAAGAAAATTAGAGTAAAAAGTGATTTAGAAAGGCAATAATATGACTGTCATAAAGATTTAAATGAACACGTTTTACAGATTGAGTTCGTGCACGCAGTGAGGGAACCGAGCAGGTGTGAGGACAGGAAATCGGGGCAGCAGGAGCTGATAGAGGTTGAGTGGAGGCAGGTGCGGGGAGCGCGGAGCCTCTGCGGGACGGACTTTGTAGGAATTTGTGGGTCAGTGGGCAGTGTTCCTCGCAGCACCTGCAGTGCATGGAGCTACAGCTGGAGGGTGTCCTCTAGAGCTGTGGTCCCCAACCCCGGGCCGTGGACTGGTACTGGTCGGTGGCCCGTTAGGATCGGGGCTGCACAGCAGGAGGTGAGCAGCGAGCTAGAGCTGGGGAGGGAACCTCACCTGTACTTACAGCCGCTCCCCATCACCCGCATCACGGCCTGAGCGCCGCCACCTGTCGGATCAACGGGGTGTTAGATTCTCACAGGAGCGCGAACCCTACTGTAAACTGCGCATGCGAGGAGGGATCTAGGTTGCGGCTCCGTCTGAGAATCCAATGCCCCGTGATCTGGGTGGAGCTGAGGCGGTGATGCCAGCGCCGGGGAGCGGCTGCAAACACAGATCATCATCAGCAGGGAGGACGACTGCACAGTACATGTGATGCCCTTGAATCACCCCCAAACCTTCCCCCTTGCTCCATCTGTGGAAAAATTGTCTTCCATGAAATGGGTCCCTGGTGCCAACAAGGTTGGGGACCGCTGCTCTGGGGTCTAGACCATATTTCTCACCTTTTTCCATTATTGTCTCCTAAGGACGCTTCTTAGACACTTTTTTTCCTCATCATCTTTCCATGAAATCTTTAAAACAATTTTTTTGACAAGTGAAAATTGTGTGTATTTATGGTGTACCCCAGAAATGCCCCATATCCGTGTGAGCCATGTGGACAGCATCAGAAAGCAAGACCTGGGTGCAGTTCCCTCCTGCACACGGCACCATGTCTACGGTCCCAACTCTTTAGCTGCCTGCCGTGCTTCCCCCGTCCCTCTCCCAGAGCCCTGGTGGTATGAGCTGGGCAGTCGCTCCACGCTTTCCCTGCGTGTGGTGCCTTTCTTTGCGGCCTGTTGAGGCCCTGGGTGTGAGGGGCGCGGAGCGCTGCCGGCTGCCTCCTCCGGACCGCTGGGCTGAAGTGCTGCGTCAGCGTGGCGCCCCTCGTGTTGGGGAAGATCACTCCCAAGTTGCGTGACGGTAGGTCCCCCCCAGAACGCCCGTTTGAATCGTGATTAAGTGACCTGTGCAGCTGAGGAAGGCGCTAGAGTCAGGTGGGCGTGGGGAGGGGTCAAACACGTGAGGACGGACTTTCCGAGGTCGGTATTGTGAGTCTCAGTGAGGCGCGGTCCTGCCGTCCAGAAATTACCGAGGACAGTGAGCGTTCTGGAGGAACTTTTGGGCTGGGAGGTGTGGCATGAAGTCTGGCTCTGGCTGCTGTAGCTCTCGGGGGACACTCACCGTAACAGTCACCTGACACTTGTCGGTGCTGCTTTCTGCTGGCTGCGGCTTAAGGGACACTAAGGTAACCGTGCGTGGGGAGGAGACTCAAACTTGGAGATAACCAGCTGTGGAGAAGACGGTTTGCAGTCTCTGCAGTGGGTGGAGGAGAATCGGGTAGCCACGGTCCTCAGCGCCCCCTTGCTGGCTGTGTGCTGATCAGTGTCACTGGCCCATCACGCATGTGCTGAGTACCTGCCAGGTGCCCGGCCCCGTGCAGTGTCACTTTGGGCTGTGAGGGTCATTCCTTTAAGATGCTGCGACGACACCGGGGAGTGCGAGCGCGCACCTTTCTGCAGCGGGCTGGTCTGTGGCTCTCAGACTCTCAAGGAGCTCGTGACCCAGAACCACTTGAGAACCGTTCCTGTTATAAACCCGGAGAGGACGGAGTCGGGAGCTTGTCGGCAGGGGAGGCGGAGGCGGGTGTGTGAAGCTTCGTGCCTCACCAGTTTGGATGTAGGTGCTTGCGGTGCCAGCGCAGCCTCGAATGATCTCTGGGCTTGTCCCACTGCCATCGCCGTATCCACCGGCAAGGCAGCAGGCTGGGGCGCGCTGTCCAAGCATGCGGCCCTGGGGGCCGGGGCGTTTTTGGGCTGCCCCCTTTCTTCCCGTCCGTGGCACTGGGCATGACCCATGTATGACCCCTGACCGCAGCAGGTCGTTGTATGTCTGTGCTGTCATTTTGACGCTCAGATACTCTAGCTGCAGCGCCAGGGAGGAGAGAACACAAGTGTGTCCAGTAAAAACCAAGGGGACTCAGGTGCGGAGGGACGTTGCGAGAAAGCACTGCCGTGGGCGGGAAGGGGCTGCCGCACCAGGGCCCGTGACAAGCAGCTCAGCGGCGGGAGGAAGGGGTTTCTTTCTGTCCTGGGGAGGCGTGACCAAGGCTAAAAGGAGCCTGCCGTGGGCATGTGGGGAGGGCCAGCGGAGGGGCGGGGCAGAGAGCCCCGAGGTCAGCCCGGAGGCTGGGCCGGGTCACACGGGGCCTGAGGGGCTGTGCGAAGCTGCACCTGGGCCTGCTCCAGTCAGGCCCACGGCGTCGTGCTCCGGTTGGCCAATGGGGACAGGCACTTCGGCCAGTGTTTTATGAGGCAGATAATGGGAACTTGGAGGGCTTTGTTGTGGGTACGTGGGCGATCCGTGATCCTGTCCAGGCCTTACCGGGCAGGGCGCTTCTGGGCGGAACACTTCCCAGAACGCCAAGGGCGGGACTTCGCGACTGTTTCCAGAGTCACAGGGTTCAGGCAGAGCTGACTCTCGTGAGGCGGCAGAGGGCTGCCAGAGCCTGCCAGGTGCCCCGGGGGCCAGCAGGCCTTCACAAAACACTGCCAGGGACCCCCTGTGGCTGGCTAAGAGCTTTTTCTGATGTCAGGAAAAACTGTGACTTTGGAACAACCACCGTAAAAAGGGATTCCTGGTGTCCAACTTGTAGCACGTCCCTCCCCGGGCACGATCGTCTACAGCGTGGCACCTTTCGTCACCTGGGAGCTATTCAACACCTCTAAACTGTAGAAAGCTGATAGCAGTGCCCGTGATCCTAGTCCTAGAGATGCAGGCAACTTTGTCCTCCAGAGGGGCAGTTGGTGTCCCCCCCCATCCCCATCCTGTCACGCACCACGTGGTCCTCGTGAGAGAAGCTGACTTTTGGTACCAAACTCGTTCTTCACCCCTCGTGACCTGTGCGTGTGTCTGTTCCCTGGATCCTCCTTCGAAGTGTTTTAACGTCGTGGTGTTCCCTCATTCATTAGTGAGTTAAATCTTTGCCACGGGTTCCTTTTACATTTGTGGGGGTTCCGCTGTCCCCCATGAGGAGCCGAGAGTAGCCGACCGTGGGGCCGGCGCAGCCAGCAGGGCAGGTTCCTCACTGCCGCGCTGACGGAGGACAGGGTGGGGCCGGCTCTTTTGTAACTCTGGCCTCAAAGGGAGGGCAGGCACGTGTCCTAAAACTTTGTTCTTTTTGTAGTAACTTTGTTTGAATATCCATTTAAACTCTCCAGACTATGTTTTCAGATTGTATTAAGCGTGAGGGCGGAGGCGCTCGAATTCCTGTGCGGTCAGATGCCCTGTGTCGCGCCCGGCGCCTGCCCTCTGCGACCTGACTGCAGCTCGAGCTGCCCCGCCCGTGTCTGCCCGGCGGGAGCTCAGGTGCAGCTCTGACCTCAGGAGTGGCCCTTTCTAGTTCTTTTATCGCTCTCACCAATGACTCATCCACCGGGCGGCTCCGTTGACAGCGTCTGCCTCGACCTCCCCTGCCAGGGTGGTGGGAGTCAGCTGGGGACGGTGAGGAGTGGCCCAGCGCCCAGGCTCTGACTCTGGTCCTCGATTGCAGGGGGAGCCGCCCCACCTCCGGGCCCCTCGAGACAGCTCCTTCCGCTCAGCTTCCTCCCGCCTGGGCTGTGGGAGGCGGCGGGAGGAATCCTGTGGGCGTGAGCGCGGGTGCCCCAGCGGCCTGGGCCGGGCCTCCTCAGTGATCTGCTTCACGGCGACGCGCGGTGCTGTCCGTCCGGGCAGGCAGCGTCTGTCCTTGGCAGCTTGTCTGTCCAGCCCCAGCAGATGGGTCTCATTAGGGCCACCGCCCAGGTCGACCCTGCCTCATCCTCCTCCCTGTCTCTCTGTCCCTGTGTGTTTGTCACACCGTACCTCACGCCTGGTGGCCCTCACTAAACTTTTTAAGGCCTGTTTTGTCGGGTCTGCTCTTGCAGGCCCCTGTTCCCTGGGGATTGTGCTGGTTGGAGTGGGCCCCGGCCACCCCAGGGTGACACAGTGGGTCTGATGTGACGCCGTCTGAGGCTGGCGTTTCAGACACTCCGGGCTAGCACGGTGGGGATGGGTGGATCGCGCTTGGGTGCTGGGCTTCCGCGGTCCCTCTGCAGCTCCTCACGCAGCTGTCGCAGGGAACGTCCGGGAGCCGCAAGGCCCGGCGCGCTCTGGTTCTCCTTCTGGCGGCGCTCTGCTTTCTGACGAGGAATCAGTTAGTTGGCAGTGATTTTACTCGTGTATCTTCACCCATTGCTCTATTTCCTGATTTGCTTTTCATATTAAATTGCTCTGTTCATAATTTTAAACATTTCTCTTCACTAGTACTATCAACAGGAAATTACCTTGTTTAAAAAAAAAAAATCTGTCAATTTTCCAGATAAGCTCATTGGTCATTTAGAGTAATAAAAAGTTTCTGGATCATTTATATTTTTGAGGGAGTAAACTTAAGTTCTAAGCGTGGTCTTATGTCTCGCAGTTGAGCGCAGATCTCACAGCGGGTGTGAGAAGCACCCGTACCAGGTCGCCTGTCCTGGCGCCGTTGTGGGCTGCGGCAGCCACGGAGAGGCCACGGAGCGGTTACTGTCGCTGGAGCCTGGCGGTCGGGGCCTTCTTGCTCTTGCTTATCACAGGTCAGCACCACCGTGGAGCTTTCCCCAGCAGATGTCCGGAGATTCCGTGGCTGGCAGACATCTGGGGTCAGGGAAGAGGGCGCAGGGGCAGGGGCTCTGCCACCGCAGACCGTTCCAGAGGGACGGCTCTGGAGGGCAGGGGCAGGGCTGGAAGCAGCCGGCGGTGCGGGAGAGCCCTGCCAGCTGCCAGCTGGACTCTGCAGACAGTTCCAGAAGGCTGGGGTGGGCCGGGCCTGGCTTGCGAGTCCAGAAAGCAGCTTAAGAGCAGAGAGGAAATGAGAAAACATTAGTCATGGGATCTCAAAAAGCTTAGGCTCCATGCCCGGTGGAGGCAGTGGCCGCGTGGAGCGCAGCTCGGATGGGGCACCCGGCACGCAGCTCACGGGCTGCCTGTCCTCGCCGCGTAATGTGTCTGAAGAGCCCTGGTGTCACCACAGCCTGGACACCTGTCCTTCCACAGGGAAGGGCACGCTTGCGGCTGTGGACCCCGCAGGACTCCTTCCAGAAGCATCTGCAGAGTCTTGGTACCACTGGGCTCTGTTTTGTGGGCTACGAAGAGTGGGCACCTGGTGTGAATTTCGTTTTTTTCCTTTTATTTCTTATTTTCTATATTTCTTCAGCTTTTCTTTTCTTTTATTCTTCTCCATTTTAGCATCTTGACGTATCTTATTTGGCGCCGTGACTATGCTTGCCCAGGACGTGAATTTTGTCTGCAGCCCGGTGCTGGGCTCGTGGTCCTCAGGAGCACACAGGCTCGTGGGGACAGTGAGGGCAGTAGGCGACGGTGGCTTCACGTCCCGAGCAGCTCCTCCGTGCTGGTGTCTCCGGGGTCTGCGTGCGGAGGCTGCGGCCCAGAGAAGGGCTGGGCTTCCCGGAGGAGGGTGCGGAGCAGGGAGAGCTCACGTGCCTGTGAGTTGGTGTCCCAGGAAGGGCGGGCGGGGCGGTGGGTGGCCGAGTGCCCCTGCTGGGCCCTGGACCCAGTGTGCTGTGGCTGACCGGAGACGACGGTCAGGACCGAGAAGGCGGCGACGCCAGGGGATCAGCCGCTGCTCTGTGCCGTCAGCGCCCCGACTCGACCCAGTGGCTTTCAAACCAGAAGGTGCCCAGTGGCGGCCTCTGCCCGGCTGTCCAGAGTCGCTGGTGGAACAGTTACATTTGTGTCCAGAGACAGCTTTCCCACCGAGACACGGAGTGCTGGGCCTCGTCATTCTCCTGCCTGTCCCTGCAGATGAGGTTTGACGTGACTCTTGTGTCAGATAAGAGGTCTGAGCTCTTTTGTCTGGTTTGGCGATACCGCGGCCATTTCTAATCCTCTCTCCTTTTCACTTTATGCTCTTACAGTCATTTCTGGTCTGTCCCATTCCCCCTCCCTCCCACCGGAAGGGAAAGGAAGCTCTTAGTGGAGGGAAAATCTCTTCTATTTCCTTCGAGGATTACTGTGGCTCGAACGTGGATGAGTGATTCCCAGTAAACGTTCAGCTGAGTCCTCAGTCGGCAGAAGCAGAAGCCCCGCAGGTCTCCCGAGACACGCCGTGTAGACCACGTTCAGCCACTTGCCGGTTCATTTAACACACAGTTTCCAGGTCACCACCTGCCACTCACTGTGGCCCACACCCCGACTCAGGAGCCTCCGAAAGCGATGACCTCGGTGGGATGTGCCCATCGTGCCAAGCGGCAGCCCCGTGATGCCACTCCCAGCCTCTCTGGCACCTTCTTGTTTATTTTTTTTTCCTATTTTTTTAATTTATTTTTTATTTTTTTAAAAGCCAGTCAAATTTAGCAGTGGGGGGTTGAATACCAACGTTAGTGACACTAATGTTAGTAAGTTCTGATAACCCACTACCATGGGACCAGCCTTGTTTAGTTCTTAAAAAGCCCCAGAAGAGGAGGGTCTTCTCGCCCTCCAGAGGAAGAAACCAAGGTTGAGGGACGTCAGGCCCCGGTTCCACAGCCCCCGCGTGCTGCGGAGCAGGGCAGGCAGGGCAGCACCACACCTGCGACTTGGGGACAGGTGCATAACCGCTGGTCAAATCTGAAGGACGCGCAGTGACGCGGAATTCCGTCAGAGCCAGCCTTGGCGTCTCCAGCTTGGACTGGGTGTCAGGCGGCTCCTCACACGACTGTTGGAGGAGGGAGCAGTGGGTGGCAGAGGGTCCGTCACTGGCGGTGTCACCCTGACCCTGTGCTCCAAGCTCACTTCGGGGCCCCTCCTGCCGTGCAGGGTGAGGAGGAGGTAATGAGTTCAGGACAGAGGCTTCCCGGTCGAGCTTGGCAGTTCCGCGCCTTGGGTGCCGTGAGCGAGGGTGCGTGCAGACGGCACCCTGCGGTCACGGGGCTTTGTGCTAGGAAGCCCCCTCCTAAGTGGGGAACGCATCCAGCTTGTCGTTCTGAGCAGAGCGGGCCCTGCAGGTCAGTTCCCGGAGCAGGCTGGGCAGTGGACAGGCGCGAGCAGGAAGCTCGCTGGGCAGTCTCTCACCTGGGCTGATTCCAGAAGGTGGGCTGTGATGAGTCCCGTGGTCTCTGCAGCCTCCAAGGGGAGCTCGGAGGCTGGGCTGGTTCTTTCAAGTTGTCCACGGGGCCGAGGCTGCCCACGGCGGGCGCACCTCTTCAGTGAGGGCCTCCTGGCGAGGGTGAGAGCTCAGGGCAGGTGGTGGCTCCAGCAGCAGGGCCTGGATGGGACGCGGTCACAGGCTGCCACGCCTGCATGGCTGTGGTGGCTTGGAAGATGTGAGTGTTATTTTTGGCTAGTCAAGCGAAGCAGTGGGAGTTTAGTGAGCATTTTAAATTTGTTTCACTTCTAACTTGATCGATTTCACTTCCACCTGCACCTGAGTGTCGACCGTCTGAAGCGAGCAGCCTTGGCGAGGGCGATCCCAGGGGTCTGCTCTCGGTGTCCTCTCACCCCTGGTGCCGCGGCGTCAGGCGCCAGCCTAGGGCCCATGAGCTTCCCTGGAGCCGGCCGCTCTGCCCGAACTGGGGCTGTGTGCTCCGCACGTCCCGCAGCGGGAGTTCGTTTTAAACAATTCATAAAGGAGGCGACTGTCCTTGACCAGCTTGGATTGCGCCCTGTGTGTGCGGAGTGAGCCAGGGCGGCCGCTCTCGGCTTAGAGACGAAACTACTTCCTTAGGGTCACAGCCACCCTAACGGCGCCCAGCAGGTGGCCACAGGGTTTGAGGTCCAGGGTATTTGGGGACATCATACTCGTCCCCGAGGTTTCAGTGGCCCCGGGCCGTGCTCAGAGTGGACTTTGTTCTGTGCTCTGGGCCTTGTTACGAGCCACTGCCCTGCGAGCAGCCCTTAGGCGATTTGAAGTGTAATTCTGAGGTTTGACCCGAGGCAGCTGAAGAAACTTCAAGTGTGATTCAAGCTCAGCACAGACAGCCCCGTCCTCACGGTCACCTCTGCCGCCGTCCTGAGGGAGCTGGGCAGAGGCAGGAAGGCGAGCTCTGGGAGGGCGGGTTCCTGTCTCTTCTGTTCACCGTGTGTCCCCAGGGCAGGGGCGCTGGCCACACGGCTCAGGTCTGTCTGGTGACCACCTCGGGGAGGTGAGCCCTGGGGCCCTCTGCCCGGTCCCCAGGTCCTGAATTCCCGTCTGCCCTGTGCCCAGCCACCTGCTGCTCCCTGCTCTGCACGTGCGCGTCCTGCGTGCAGAGCCCTCTCTGCTGGGAGAGTCCGGCCTCCTCGGAGCCCTGGGCTGCGGGTGTCGGAGCCTTTCCCGTCCCCCACGTCAGGAAGCATCTTCGCAGTCTCCAGGCCGGGCCCTGCCCACGTGGCACCCCGTCATCCCCACGTTCCGCTTGGGCTGCCTCCTAAGGGTGCGGCAGGGGTGTGCTCAGACCACGAGCAAACTGTCTCGCACTCTGGGCGTCCTCAGCCGAGCCCCGCGTGCCAGGTGGACCGAGTGTTCCTTCTGCGCTCGCCTAGGCCGATCAGGCGTCCTTCCTGGGGTAGCGGGTCCCCGCGGTGCAGTTCCCGCTGCTCGTCTCCGGTTCCAGGAACAGGACTAGGCCAAAAGGAGTTGCTCAAGGGCAGCAAACTGCCGCTGGGCCCCGCGCCTGCAGGACCTAAAGCAGGGGATGCGCCTGCGGCAAGACGGTCGTACTCGCGCCCTCACTCCTGCCCCGAGGGACTCAGGCCCACTCCCGTGGTGCGCTGGGCGCGTCTCCTGGGGCGGCGGCTTCCGAGCCCGGGTGGCCCTGCTGCCCCAGGAACCTGCCTGCTGCAGGCACGCGGGGAGGTGCGGGAGTAGGGGAGGGAGGCTGGTGTTCCCGGCGCCCTGCCCCCGCGGCGTGACCGAGCGAGCCGGACTGTAATACTTGGCCATCTTCTCTGCCAGTGTCCCAGATGTATGCAGTGTGACGCCAAATTCGACTTTATCACCAGAAAGGTGAGCGGAGGCCGTGGAGTGGGGGCAGTGGGAGGACCCACTCGGGTGGGGCCCCAGCGGCACAGTTGGCCCCTCTCTGGGGAGAGGCCAGTTCTCTGTGAGGGAACAGCTGCTGTGGGACTTGCTTTGAATTCAGGCAACGCCCTGTTTCGGTGGCCTAAAAGAACCCGGGGAAAGTGCCTGGCCCGGATCCCAGGGGTGCGGCTTACGCGCTCCTGTGACCCTGCGAGGTGTGGTCCCCTGCGGGCTGCTGCCCAGACAGGCGCTGCCCTCGGAGAGTCGGGTCCTAAAACCTCTCTGCGCGCGGCTGCGCGGAGGCGGGGCGTCCCGGTGGGCGCCACGTGGGCCGTTGAGAGGCGAGAATCGGGCCTTTGACTTCCCAGGGAGGCAGAGCCCTGCCGTGCGCAAGGACCCCGCCGGGCCCGCGCGGAGGTCGACCTCTCAGGCCGGTGTCAGTAGCGGCCCGGAGACCGGCCCGGCACGTTGGCCTCGGCGCACTTGGGGGTGGTCTCGGGGAACTTGTCCTCTGCTCACTGCCCGTCCTCTGGCCGTCCGCCCAGCACCACTGTCGCCGCTGCGGGAAGTGCTTCTGCGACAGGTGCTGCGGCCAGAAGGTGTCGCTGCAGCGCATGTGCTTCGTGGACCCCGTGCGGCAGTGCGCCGAGTGCGCCCTCGTGTCCCACAAGGAGGCCGAGTTCTACGACAAGCAGCTCAAAGTGCTCCTGAGCGGTAAGCGGCCTGCCGCGTCCCAGACGTTCCCCGTGAGGTGACTCACGCTCCTCCGTATCTGTCGAAGCTGTGGGCTGTGAAGACGTCTGTTCCGCTTTTTCTTTGACATTCTGTCTCGCCCTCCTCATTTTTGTCTGGGTTCATTTAGCAGCAGTTGTAGAGCCGGAAATGTCACCTAAGACACGGTCCTGACTCTGCTGGGCATGTCCCTCAGGCGGGAGGGGAGGCCCTGACCCGGGCAGTACTGTCCCTGGCAGTCGAGTCTTTGTGGCCGTGTCCCCGGAGAAGAGGTCCAGAGACTCCCACCAGTAGCACAATGCACAGCGCGCTTCTGTGCGTTCTCGGGGGGTCCCAGTGTGGGAGGAAGGAGCCCTCCAGAGGGTTCGGCTTTGCCTCCCGGGGCCCCTGGGAAATGAGCTGCTGCCATTCCCCGCGCTCAGCCGGGGAGCCCTGGGCGACCCGGCCTGCGGCTCCGCAGTGGCGTGGCGGGATCTGAGCTTTGTGGGTTTTCTTGCGCCTTCTTTCTGCCGTTTGGTCCTGTCCTGGTCAGCTCCGAGAAGGCGTGGGTGGAGGGCGTATCGTTCTTCCGTCTGGGCCTTTGTGACGAATTCCCCTGCGCACTTTCTTTGAAAGACGTGAAAACATTCTAGGAGCTCCGTGCGCAAGCGGAGCGTGTCGCCTAGAGCTGCGCCCTTCGTTTCCGTCTTCAGCCCTTGGTCCCTCCCTGCCTTTCCGCTCAGCTGAAGGGTCCTTAGAACAAAGCCGTGTTTCTCGTTTTCATTGCGTCCCGCGTGCACGTCTCCCTGTGGCGCTCGGCTGGGGCAGGTTGCGTGGAAAACAAGCAGGGCCTGTTCTCACGTCTGTTTTTGTGTCCTAAGGAGCCACCTTCCTCGTAAGTTTTGGAAACTCAGAGAAATCTGAAACCGTGGTTTGTCGTCTTTCCAACAACCAGAGGTAAGAGCCAGAACCCTACGTGGCGCGGGACAAGTTGTCACGGACCGCGGACCTCAGTCACAGCGAGCGCGAACGTATAACAACGTGGTTTGGAAACTTTTGCTTGACGCAGATACTTGTTTCTGGATGGAGACGGCCACCGTGAGATCGAAATCGCGCACATCGCGACCGTGCAGATCCTCACGGACGGCTTCCCTGCAGGAGGTAAACGCCGCCTCGTCCTTTCCTAAGCTGGGGGTTTGGTGCCACCCGTGGGTGACGGGAGCGTGTCTCCAAGACGGCCGCCTTTCCTCTCCCATGGGGCGCGTATCTAGTCGGGGGCTTTGGAGCCTGCCCGGTGGGTGGGGGCTTCCGCTGCGACGAGGAAGGACAGCGAGCCGAGCGCGTCGTGGTGCCTGCCCTTTGCCTGAACGCTCTGGTGTGTCACTCCATTTACCACTGGACTTGAACCAGGGACAGAGCTCCACACGCAATAACCAAGGTTCCCAGAAAGGTCCGGAGTGACGGCCGTTCGGGAAGCAGTGCCCCGGCCCCTCTGTCGCTGGCTCTGCCTGCCGGGCGTCTGTGCAGACTAAGTTCCGTGTGCGTTTCCTCGCGAGCTTCTAGAGCGCTTAGCCTAGTCTGGAGCTTTCCGACTAAACCCGCACGCCTCCGGAGCCGCCTGCCCGCCGCCGCGGCGATCGCGTTCCCTGTCTGAACTGCCGGAGCGCGCCTCCACCTAACCCGTCTTGCCTTCCGTTCTCTCTGGCTCTTGACTGTTCCTCTCTCCGCTGCCCGCCACCTCCTAGACGTAGAAAAAGACATTCACGCTTACACCGGCCTCCGGCGGAGCCAGCCTGCCTCTGAAGGTCAGCCCTGCCCTCTGCCCGGCCCCCGCCCTGCCCCTCCTCTTGCTCCTCCGCTTCTGTCCCTGGGGTGTCCGTGCCAAGGTTCTTTGTGAAACTCACGTTCACTGTTTTTGGTTGATTTGAAAGAGGTGTTGGGTCCAACACGCGGGTCTGTAGAGCCTCAATGAAAACACCCCAGCACTGCGGTCGCCACCCCCAGGCGGAGGGTGGTACCTGCCAGGAACCGGGCCGCACGGCGGGAGGCGAGGGAGCCAGGGAAGCTCCATCCGTATTCCCAGCCGCTCCTGTCACCGCGTCACCGCCAGAGTGCCGCCTCCCGGCGGATCAGCGGGGACATGAGTTCTCCCAGGAGCGAGAACCCTCCGCGTCCAAGGGGTCTCGGTTGCGGCTCCGTGTGAGAATCCACTGCCCGATGATCCGGGTGGAGCCGAGGCGGTGACGCCGGCGCCGGGGAGCGGCTGCAAACACAGATCATCATCAGCAGGGAGGACGACGGCACAGTACATGTGATGTGCTCGAATCACCCCCAGACCTTCCCTCCGGCCCCCAGTCTGTGGAAAAATTGTCTTCCACGAAACTGGTTCCCGGTGCCAAAAAGGTTGGGACCGCCGTCCTAGCAGGAGAAAATATATTTGCTCAGTTCTCTGTGGGCACTGGGGGGGCGGGGAGTGTTACCGCCAGTTGACAGCTGCCTGTCAACATCTGCCCAGGGCAGGCTGGGCCGCGGGAACCTCTCTCAACACTGCCCTGGGGGCTCTGGGGACCCTCAGACTCTCTCAGCACTTGTCCCATCCTCCTGAATGATGAGGTGAGAGGGCCTGGCCAGTATCTCGCTGCCTCTGTCCCGAGCACAGGTGCGCGTGGCACCCGGCAGGCTGCGGGGAGAGGCCCTGGTGTAGGGCACCAGCCTGGTGCCCTCTCTGCCCGGCACCCCCTGGGGAGCCCGAGGCTCAGGGACTCGCCGAGGTCCGCCCAGGGTGCAGCGGTGGCCAGTGGCGGAGCCTCGCACACGCGGTCTCCCCTCGACTCTGGCACTGCGCGCCCTTCGCGGCCGTTTTGGGGGTGCAGTGAGCCCTGCTCTGCCCGGTGTTTTCTACTTAGGACCCTGGAAGCTTGTCTTCGTGTGGGGGTAGGGACAGTGGGAACAGTTCCCTGAGCTGAAGGCAGCCCGGGGCCTGGGCCCTCTGCAGTGGGGGCGCACACTGGTTCTGTCGAGGGCCAGAGGGTAAATCTGTGCTGGCCACACATGCTGTCACAGAGCTCAGAGGCAGCCACAGACAACAGGGTACAGATGGCTGTGATCCAGTAAAACTTTACTCGCAAAAGCAGGTGGGGGTGGGGCCGGGTCTGCCTGCTCCAGGGCACGGGTGGGAGCCCCCAACGCAGCCTAGTGGGGGCGTCAGCCTGACAGGCAGTTTCCAGGGGGTCTCTGGGCTTTAAAACACTGTGGCTCATGACGGCAGGGCTTAGGTGGCCTGCCTGGGCACAGCACTTTACAGGTGGTCGTGCCTCTCCCCGAGCAGGAGTGGCTGGTGTGCCCTGCCACCCGCTGCTGGGAGGGTCAGGCCCTCAGGTTTGATTCAGAGATCTGTGTCTGACTGAAGGAATCTCCTGAAGGGTAGAAGATTGCTCAAAATGGAGTTTTCCTCCAAAAATGACAAAGTAGAAAAGCTGCAGTCAGTTATGGCGGCGCGCACCTGTGGTCCCAGCTACTCAGGATCACTTGAGCCCAGGAGTTTGAGGCTGCTGTGAGCTGTGATTACGCCACTGTACTCCAGGCTGGGCAACACAGTGAGACCCCTCTTTCTCTAAAACAATTTTTAAAAAGCTGGAGGTCACGTTCACCATGAGGCTCAGCCACACAGGTCTTTTTCTCCACTGTAGCCTTGACTGTGAAGAGCTGTTCTGTCCCTTGAGTGGTTCCTTGGAGCAGGTGCTGGAATTGAGTCGTAGTCATGGGAGCAGCTGGTCATGACCCAAAGATAGGGCGTGCACCCCAGCAGGCCGATCCCCCAACATAGGGTGTTTCTGGGCCGCCATGTCGGGTCGGGGGGAACAGCCCATGACTGGGGGGGGTGGCGTTTTCCTGGTGTGAGGCCCTTACCTGTCCCGACCGTCTGTGCTCTGGCCTAGGTGCTCAGCAGTGGGACAGTTGGGGCCAGCTCTGACTCGAGCGTGGGCTTGGCCTGTCTGCCGAGGGCCAGGGCCCTCTTGAAATGGCCTCCACGCTCTTGCCAGCCCTGGATGCAGATGGGTGCGACTGGTGCTTAGAGGGGAGCCAGCTCTGTTTGGGGGTTCTCTGAAGGCAGGAAGCCCCACACAGGCCAGGGAAGCTCAGTAGTTTCTGGATTAGCTGAGAACAAGGCCTCTCACACAGCTCTCAGTAATGTGGTTCAACGTGTCGCAGGCCATGGAGGGCCTGGGGCCGGGTGTCTTGGTCCCTGTCCTACCCTCTGTGAACTCAGGGGTCCCATCAGAGAGGCACGGAGAGACGGAGTTCCCTGGGTGCTCCTCACGCTGACCCTCACCCCCAGGCTGTTCCCTCGAGCAGCGCAAGGTCAGGGAGGCACCTGGGCGCCACACGTCCTGGCACTCGGGGTCCCCTTTGGGCCTTCTCACCTCGTCTCCGTCCTCTAGGAGGCAGCACGCGGGCCACGGGCATGTTCCTGCAGTATACGGTGCCGGGCGCAGAGGGTGTGGCCCAGCTGAAGCTGACGGCTGGGGACGATGCACACGGCAGGAGGCACGCGGCCGCGTGGCTGGCGGCCATGCACAAGGTACTGCGGGCGGGGTCGGGGCACGGGAGGCTGGGCCCTTCCCCTTAGAGCAAAAGGAGTTTTCCAGAGAAAGACCTGCCACCTGCCCTGTGCCCCCCACCCACCTCCAAAGTGCACGCAGGGTCAGCTCCGACCCGGCACAGGGCCCATGGTGTTTTGTTGTGTTTATTTCTGGTCACCCTGCAGGCTGCCAAGCTCCTCTATGAATCTCGGGACCAGTGACTTCACGTGGGAGCTGAGCTCGGGGTACGTCTGGGCGCTGGGACCGAGTCACTTGGAACAGCAGAACCTGCTCCCTGCGCACCACGGGGCTTCCTCTCGCTTGCGCTGGGAAATGCGATTCACGGGTTTGGAGAGACGGCGCGTTCACTTACCTAGTGCAACGTGTACAGTTTATTAACGCTTTCAGCAGCTTCACGTTTTAGAATTTGTCTATTATCTTGATGATTAGGAGTGGGAGAGACTGAGCTACACTACTACCAAACTATTTTTAGCATAATCTATGCCATGTTTTTGAGTTCCCAGGCTTGCTAGAAGGTTCTGGCCCATCAATGTTCATTAATTAATTCCTCCCCAGAACCGGCGTGGGTAGTGCTGACTCGGGCCCCTGATCTGCAGGGAGCCGCCATCCGCAGCAGCCTGTTGACAGCACTTGCCTTAGCTCGGTTTACGGACGTCTGTCCACCTCGTCACTAATTTTGGGCTACGAACATCCTTTGCTATTCCACTGCGGGGAGGGCGCTGGCTGTTTTTGTACTTTTCACTGTTTCACTTTATTGGAATGCCCGTACCGCAGTTTGTACATGAAGCTTATGATTAAAGCTATTTTGAACATACAGACGAGGCCTCGGCTTACTGTGTCCAGGTCACCTGTGCTCTCGGGCCACAGCTCAGTCCGGCTCTAGAACACAAGACTCGCAGCCACTGGGGGAGACAGCGGTTTATTGTGCACATCTACACGGCATCCGCAGTGGCCACACCCCTGCAGCAGGCTGCTCCACATGGCGTTCACGTCTCAGCGCCCACGGTACAGTCACTGCTCGGGGGCGACGACAGCACTGCAACACTGCGTCAGTGAGCTATACACACATTTATGCATAAATTATACACAAGACTCATACATGAAAAATAAAGCCCTAAGGGCCTGTATTTTAATGAAGAGAAAAAACATTTCCAACATAGTTCTGGTAGTTTCGAATGGTCTAGTCAAAAAATACTTTTGGTATATAAAAAGCCTGTACGTATACTTCACACCTCGGTGACGCCCTTCCTTGCCCTGAGGCTGGAGCTGGGCAAAGGTGACTGTGTCCCAGTGGGGAAGGGGCCCGGCTGCCAGTTCTGGCTTCCGACTGCACTCGGAGGCGGCGTGCGTGCCGAGGCGCGCCGGGCTGCGTCACGTGGTCTTAGGGGCCCCTGGCACAGAAGTCCAGCCGCAGCACCAGGCTGCACCATCTGCCTTTGGGTGACCTAGACCAACACCAGAACAGGAAGAACAGCCCAAAGCAGCCACACAGGGTGGTCACTGAGGGACACACACATCAGGCAGCGCTGGACAGAAGTTTCCATACAGGGGCTCCTTTGGTGGTGACAGGAGGAGGAATCATGGTGGGGGCTGAGGAAGGACGGTGGCATCTGACCTTCAGGAGGGCAGGGCTGTCGCTGGGGCAGGCCCAACAGCTGCAGGTTTTCACTGCTGTGGTGACATCTGAAATGAGTGAGTGGCAGCCTTGAGGCCAACACACAGCTTTTGTCTTTACTGGCAACCAACCAGGGGGGTCATTAATTACAGGGCTTACTGGCAACAGGGGTGGGTGTTTTGAAAGCTGGGTATTTATTTGCGTTTACAGTAATTGGCAAAGTTCAGTCCTCTTGGAGGCAGAAGTACCTCTCCCAGTTACGGGCAAACTGGAGAAAGGGCCTCCCCGGAACCGCAGGGATTCACATTGTGGACGCTGTCTGCTAAAGTGAGCACCATTAAAACCGCTTCTAGCTTCGGCCTTCCTGGGGAGACAATCATCTCTTCAGTGGCTCCTAGTCGCTGGCAAGACCACGCGGTGCTCAGAGGGACGCTCAGGCGAGTGTTCGCTGTCGGGGTTTGATCCGTGGGTACAGCTGGGGAGCAACGAGACGGCACTGAGCGGGAGCCGCGTTCCCTCAGCTCCGCACGCCCCAGCCCCACGGCCATATGGCTCGTTCTTGGGCCTTAGCTCAGCTGTCACCTCTTCATTCCAAGCCTCCCTAACCCCCCTTTTGAAGGGTGCCCCCACCCCAGAATATCCTGTTTCTGTCACAGCACCTCCTACCACCTAAAACTTGTCTGTCTGCAGGCCCTTGGGGACGCAAGGTCCTCGTGGGAACATACGTCTGCTGCGTCGGCCTCAGTACCTGGCAGACGCCGGAGTCCAGGGAAAGCGGCGGAGTGAGGAAGGAGCACCTGCCAGCGCCGCCGGGCGTGCAGGAGGAGAAAGCAGAGGCGGCTCCCTCTGCCAGGCACCGGTGCGGTTACAGACGCAGCACAGAGCTGGCAACCCGCAAGCTCCCGCCTCCCGACACCATCCAATGAGTGTCCGGGCTACAGAGAATTCTAGATTGGGGAAGTTCTAGGTGGGCTGAGACTAGCTACGGGTTGAAGTTCTCGGTATCTGCAAGAGCCAGTGCTCGGGGAGCTCCCGCAGTGTGGTCCCGGTCCCGGGCACCCCCAGAGGTTCCGCATGAGCCTCCTGCCGACTCCGCAAAGCAGGTCCTTGCCTGCGCCTGGGCGGGGGCACCGAGGCTTGGAGAAAGGCGCCGCCCTGGTCCCCATGCTACAAAAACAGTGCAGCGTGCTTACCCCCAGCAGGTTTTTGGGCACGTAGCCCTCGCGGTCCCCAAGGCGAGCCCACCACCACTCGGTCTCGCTTTCGTCCTTGCGCCTCAGGATGGTGAGGGCATCCCCTTCGTGGAAGGACAGCTCGTCACTGTTCTGGGCCTCGTAGTCCCACAGCGCGTACACCACACCTTTGTTCATCACGCCCAGCTTCTCCTGCACCCCTGGGACCAGAGAACAATGGTCAGGCCTCAGTGGAGGGTGGCCTCACGGACGAGTGGCTCAAGGAACGGGGTGGACACGCTGCTGCCAGGCAGCTCTCAGCGGCCTCACGGAGGCCGGCGGTCGAAACCGTCAGACCAGGGCTCCCCCTCCTGCCACCCGCCCGAGACCACAGCGCTCCCGGCTTAACGCGCTCGCCCCTCGGTCCCGCAGGACCGTCTGACCGAGCTCCTGAGCCCAGAGGCAAAGGGGTTGTTCTAAAAGGCATTTCTTACGGTGAAACCTGTAACTCACATTCAGAGCAAACCTCCAAAAATCAGTAACTAAAGGAGCTATGCCTGCTCGTGGATGGCAGCGAACGAGCCACACACAACTGAACCGTGACAGCTGAGCACACGGCTGCTCGCGAGTCCCCGAGAAATGCCCTTCCGCAGGACGCTGCTTCGGAGCCGGCCGTGGCGGGTGCCAGGGAGCCTCTGCCACTCCGCAGGCGCCACCGTGACTGCAGTCTGGTCCCCGTGCTCACAGGGGCCGGACACCCCTGGGGCTCCTGTGCCTCCCCAGCCCCTAGAGCTTGCTGCCCGGCTGTCTGCGGGAGCCCAGGGAGGGGAGAGCCTCGCCCGGCTGTTTCAGCTCATCGCTTTATCCCCAGGATCTAACGCAGGGCGGGGCACACAGTAGGGTCTCAGGTTACCTGTGGAACGATGCCTTGTGACTGTTTAACCCTCAGAACAGAGAAGATGTTCCAGTTCTTGGAAAATCTGACTCTGGATAAGCAGCTTAATTAAGACATGAGCCTAACTCATTAAGTGGTTCTGGGGACCAGCAGCCGGGCCCCCAGGCCACCACGAGACTTCCCAGCATCAAGCAGACACACAAGACACTGCCGACCACCCCGCTCCCCGGCTCCTCTGTCTAAAGGGGCAACATCTCTGCCGAGCACGGCCAAGTCATTTTTGGCTTTGGCCATCTACCGCAGAATCCTCCTGACAGCATGGATTTCAAACACGGTTTCAGGAAGGAGAGCAAGCTGCTCAACGCTGTGCTCCAGTCGAACTCCAGGCCTCTCCCTGGCCCCGTGTGGCCGAGGCCATGGCAGCACCGTGGTCCACAGCATCACTGCGGCCCCAGGGGAAACTCGCCGGCCCCACGTACCGTACAGGAACTGCGAGCACTGAATGTAGCCCTCCTCCACCTCTTCGCACTTGTCCGCTGCAGTTTCAATGTCGCTGATGGTCGAGGCGAAAATGGCGGCGCCGCTCTCCACCAGCTGCTTGCAGAGGTGCACGCTGTTACAGGAAGCGGCACAGTGCAGCGGCGTCCTGGAAGCAGAGCGGGTGTGACGGTGTGGGTCTGGCACTGCCCCAGGGCTGCCTGGCCCCTGTGTGAAGCAGTCCTCTACGGAACGCTCATGGAAGGTGCTGTGCTTTTGTGCCAGGCAAGCTTCTGTGGTTTTTTCCTTCTTTTGAGACGGCCTGCTCTGTTGCCCAGGCTAGGCTAGAGTGTAGTTTCTTCACGGGCGTGATCCTAGCTCACAGCAACCTCCAACTCCTGGGCTCAAGTGATCCTCCTGCCTCAGCCTCCTGAGTAGCTGGGACTACAGGCACGCGCCACCACACCTGGCTGATTTTTCTATTTTTAGTAGAGACGGCGTCTCGCTCTTGCTCAGGCTAGTCTTGAACTCCTGAGCTCAAGCGATCCTCCCGCCTTGGCCTCCCAGGGTGCTAGGATTACAGGCGTGAGCCACCGCGCCCAGCTGCTTCTGTGTAGTTTTAATAGCATGATTTCTACTAACAAGTTGTTTTGGATCACACGTAAATTTTTGAAAAAGGGGAGCATATAATAAGAAATGGCCTATAAATAGATGTTCATCACATAGCAGTGTACATGCACATGATACACTGAAATGAATATTTAAATGTGATTAACATGGTAAAATTTTATGTTATATGTATTTTACCACAACTCAAATACAGCGTGACAGAATGACAGCTTTCTGGAAGTTCAAAATAACCCCTACCTACGGGGGACCAGTGGGCCCTGTTCCTGAGGACAAGTGGAAAAGAAAAACACCAGCTCGGTGTCTGACAGAAGGGGAACTGCTGAGGTTACTTTTCACATGGAGCACGGAATTCATGCATTTCATACAGAATATATGAAAAGAGGAAGACTGAGTAGCAGAGTGCTTAGCTCACAGTGCGAACAACCAGGCACACAAAGAACGCAGCCACAGCGAAAGGAAAGGCTGGAAAGACACGCAAAGGAACGCTGACACCAGGTGCCTTTCGGGGATGAAATGACAGGGGTTCTTGCTCTCTTCCATACTTCCAGAGTGTCTAGAACATGCATGGCTTCCATTTGGCAAGCAGGGAAAAGTGAACCTCTCAACCCCACACCCCCACGGGGGCCTCACCATCCGTCACTGTCAGCAGCATTCACGTTGACCCCGAAGTCCAGCAGGAACTTCACGATGTGATGGTGGCCGGCACACACAGCGTTGTGCAGCGGAGTGATCCCTTCGTCGTTGGGCTTGCTGGGATCTTCCACCTAGGACACACGGCACATGAGAGCCTCGCCCGGCCCCTCCAGCACACGCAGTGGTAGGTGGCTGCAGCTCACCTCGTAGATGACCCTCTGCACCAGGTCAAACTCTCCCTCCAGAGAAGCATCTAGGAGCAGCGCCAGGGGGTTAAATCGGACTCTCAGACCGTGCCCTGTCCGCTCAGAGTTGGGCTTCTTCAGGTTGGTCCGTTTGCTCTGCTGGGAATGAGGATGAAGCATGCTATCAGTTTAAAGGCTATCTCCCAAAGCGAGGAGAGCCCAAGCAGCACCACCTGAGTGGGAAGGCGTGGCAGGAACTGAAGCCTACGGGAGGCCCTACAAGAGCAGGCCCCTCGAGCAGCAGCAGCAGCACCCAGGTGGCCACCCTAAGTGAGGGCCCGGCCACCAGTGCCGACTGCCATCCAAGCTTGCTCCGAAGGAGAGCACCAGCAGGGCCTGAGCCCCTGGCTTGTGCTCCAGGGACCACGGCTGTGTTGGGGCTGCCAGCCATTCCCCGTGGGAAGGAGTGTGGTAGGTGATTGCCAAGCTGCCGAACCTGGTGTCAGCCCCAGGGAGGCAGCAGCTTGTTCCTACCGACATTGCACAGGACTCTTCCTGCCAAGGCACCAGACCTCAGCAGAGGGGACCTCGCTGAAGACTCTCTGCTCCATCAACACTGACCTCCCACCCGGGGCCCTCTGTCTAGAGGTTCTTACTTCTCTCTGACTCCCCTTCCACAGGAAAGCCTCCTAGAGCTCCCTGACTAATCACCTGGGAAAGGCTCCTTTGTGCCGTAGCTATCTGTGTGACGTGTGACGGTCTGTCCTCCCCACTAGGCCCAACTCACGGGCCTGGGACAGGGACATTCCTGGCTCCTACTGCTCCCAGCACAGCCTAACATAAGGGAAGTGCCCCAGAGGTCCTGGCTGCGCGAATGACCAAGAAGGTGAGGAAGGCCTGGCGCTGGTCTAGCAAAGACACCCACCGTGGAGGCTGCAGGAGGGTGGACAAGGGGAAGAGATGGTGGAGGAACTTGCTCTTCCCCTGGGGATGGTGCCTCAGCCACGGGACTTGGGACCTGTTCTGTGGAAGGGACTGTGGCTACGTTGTTGTTATTGTCCTCCGCAGGCTCAGCAGTTTGGTGGGTGGTTTGGGGACAGATGAGCTTCTCTGGCTCAGGGGAAGGTAACTCGTTGTCGTTGGCATCTGACGAAGGGGCAGGCTCGTCAGGGAGTGGGGCTGTGGACTGGGCAGGGGTGGGCTCTTCCAGGTTGCCATTAGCATTGGTATTTCCATTGTCCACATCGGCCAAGGTGCCCATGAAGTCCTGGGAGGGACTGGGCTGGTAGAAAGGGGTGCCCTCCATGCCACCAGCCAGGGTGTTGAAACGCTGGTACAGCAGCTTCTGGATGTTGGGCCCGCCGGGGCCCTCGGGCTCTGTGATGGAGCTGCGCTTCTTCAGGGGCCGGGGCGCATTGGCCAGCTTCCTGCGGAGGGCCTCCAGGTCGGCATCGCTCTGGTAGCGCAGCGGGGAGTGCACGATGGGCGTGAGCTTGGTGGGGCTGAGCGGCCGGGGCAGGCTCTCCACGGTGCTGCCATCTGCGGGCGGGGCGGGGCCGTCCTGCTCTGGCTCTTTCTCGGGACACTCTGAAGATGGCTGAGGCTGTGACACGCCTGTGGACAGCGACCCGTGAAGAAACGGTAACGGTGATGGAGATGTCGAACCCGACGGTAAAACGGGTTTACCGTATACTGGAGGAGACAGAAAAGACAGGCAATTTCAGCAGTGTTGCTGGAGTCTGCTCACTGAGCATCTTGACTCCACGAGAGGTAGGCTCCTACAGAGACACGCAAATCTGCTGCTGCCGTTAAATTCAAATTTTAAATCCTGAGGAAACCTGTTCTAAGAACCTCCACTGACTCCTTGAGAAAGGTGCAGTCTATCTCTCTAATGTACGAGTTTTTACATCGGGGTTTCCAGAATTAGGGTGTTTCCAAAAGAGGAAAAATTGCTAACCTGACTTTCCTTGCCTCGAGCCTGCCTTGTTTTCTGGCTAAGGAAAAAGACAAAATTACTAAACCCTTAGAGTAATTCAAAAACATGTACCTCTTCAGAGCAGGAAGTTTCACCTGGTGGGCCAGGAGCTCTTGATAACGTCTAGGTCTCTTCCACCTGCCCACAGGTGGACACCACACCACCACTGGGGAGGTCCCTGGGCAGGGTGACCTCCACCCAGGAATCCCTGAACTGTGTGTCTGGAAGCTGCAGCCAGTGCCCAAGAATGTCTCAGGAGGCCCCAGCCTAGACCTGACCCACAGGATCCTCCTGTGAGGGTCACCAGCCTCGGTGGAACGTGTGAGACTCATCCTCTCATGTCTTCCTGCAACACCCCAAACCAAATCTTTTCTCCCCTGTGGGGTTTTGGGGGAGGCTCCTAAGCAGCAAAGCCATCACCTGCTCAATGGGAAGCTCCTGGTACACGTTACCATGAAGCAGGAGGGAAAAGAGGAAATCCCTGAATCCCGCCCTTCCCGGAGTTGGGCTTCCCAAGTAGCACAGGGAGGCGGATGCTCCGACAAGCAGCCAGGGAGCCGGGAGCCACCTGCAAACTCCTCACTCCACGCATCTCACCTCTTACTTCCCTCTCACACTGACACCCAAGGCTGTGCTTTAATGTAGGAATTAAGTTAATTCTAAACAGCATGTGGCCCAGATGTAAGGATATGGATTAGTATTTTCTTATTTAAAAGTATAATTTCCTAGCCCGAGGAGAAGAAGAGTATAAACCCACCATACCTGCTTTAACTGACTTATTTAAGGTGCTGTGCGCCGCCGGCTGGTAATTCTTAGGTGGTGTGGCCTGCTGGAGGTACACGGAGTATATGGAGCTTGAATTCACTGTCTGGGGGCCTTTCCTGGGAGACTGTGGCCTTGACCCTTTATCAGCCAGAAAGGGCCTAATGGCCACTGTCAGTGGGAGTTCAGGTTTGCTGTCTCCAGCTGGAAATGCAGGTGGTCCCGCTGGGTACGTGGGACTTGGCGGCACAGAAATCCTCTGCTGAATCTGCTGTGAGGAGCCTGGCTGGGAGGCGCTGCCTGCCGGGGGCAGTGGGGTGGGCTTCTGGCGACTTGGCAAGCCTGCACCAGGTCTGGGCAAGCTGCTTTCTTTCTTCCTCTCTAGGGAGCTTGTCGACCCTGGACCCAGAGGCGTAGCACTTGGGTATGTCCCATAGCTTGGGGGCAGCTGCTTGCCCCCACCAGTGATTGGAGGTGGCACTTTACCAATCTCGATGCCCTAAATTTAGGTGTTAAGAAGAAAAACAAAGTCAGTCTTTGAAGAGTTAAGCAAATTGTGATCCACAGTCCCAAGAGACTACGTAATAGGATTTGCATTCCCTCAATCAGGCTGTGACCAGGGCAGAGGGCCCACTGTCAGGCCACTGCTTGTCTGCAGAAGTGACGCACAAGTCCTGTGCACCTGTGCACTTCTCAGGCTCTCAAGTCCAGGAACCCATTTAGGACTCTGGGTGTGATTTGAACACTAACAGGATTAATTTGCCTCATGACGACTCATACCCGATTTAAGGTGAAGGCAGATGAGTGATGTCGTTAAGAACTTGTTTGCGTTTTGTGATAAAGACAAACGGCCTACCGGCTTCTCCGTGGCTCCTAACGCTGAGAAGGGCAAAGGCTGGCTTGAGATGGTGCCCTGCCTGAGAGTCCCCTCCATACCCGGGTCCTTCCACTCCGCACTGGCCATCTGTGTTGGTTTCACGGAAGAGCTAGAATTCTGTTTTAACGTTGGCCAGTTTCCATCATTAGCTTGAAAAGAACAAAGAATTTGAGTAAAATTTTTCTTAAAACTAGTTGAACCAACCAACCTAGTTGACTAACACCTTGCCAGAAACAGAAACAGCACTGGGATGTCCCATCCTGCTGGAGCTCCATACACCAAGCAGTCACCCCACCCCACATGCTGCGCTGTTCATCTCCTCTAAGACCCACAGACCTGTGCACGAGACCAAAGGATGGTGCCCAAATCGCTTCCAAGTGTTACCAGAGCTTGAAGGACCAAACGAAGGCTCAGCTAGTGCAGGCCCAGGGCTGCGCCCCACTTAAATACAGGTCAAATCCATTATAATAACACCACTGACTAAGCGTTGGCATTTTTCAAACACTATTTATAAATTACATACAACAATCAAAAAAGATTCACCTTTTGACTTCATAATAGGTTTGACCTGTACTACTTTATTAAAATTAAAATTCTACATTAATCTGTTAGAAATTTGCATAATCTAAAATAATTTATGATCACGGGAGGCCAGAGCAAGTTCCCATTGATTAGTGGCAGCAGGAGCAGACTAGCGTCTGTTGCAGTGATGAGAAAGCCAGTCGCCAACTCCAAGTTTTCAGGAAAGCCCCTGGGATGACGTGTTCTTTACAGAGCGTTTTCCAAACTGAAAAAGGTACAGAGGCATTCCCTGCTGTCACAGGGTCCCTCACAGTGACTACGTCCATTAGAACATCTGTGGGGTCAGACTTCTCACCCATGACTCAGGCTCCTGTTTCTGTCCTTAACAGGCACAGACGCTGAGCTGGACTGAAGGGGTCGACGCTGCCAGCCCCATCAGCAATACGGGACAGACACCAGGCGGGGACTGTTTTGGGCCCTCCTAGCAACAGCACAGCCCCTTCCCGCATCCCACGTGCCAGCACAGGCACGAGGGGATAACGGAGAAGCAGCAGAGAAATCCCTGGTCCTCACAATGCTCGAACCAAAACCTTTGGCTCACAGAACACAAAGAACAAGCCTCTCAACCACGCTCTGAGCAGGCCCCACCGGCAGCAGTTGTGCGCAGCCTGCCCCTAGGCCAAACGCCGCTGCAGCAGCACTGCAGCCCCAGTGCTGGGGTTCAGTCACTATGCCGCTAAACGTCACCCAGGCTCCAGGCAGGGGTTCCAAGACACGCGGGCCCTGGTGAGGCATTCCAAGGCCCTAGCACAAACTGTCACCTGTCTTCATGCAGCTCGTCAGCCCCTTCCAGGCCAGGAGTGTGTGTGCTTTCATCCTCTCTTGGTTACATGTTACATGCGAAGGATATATAGGCCAGCAACTCACAGGCTCACCAAGGATGCACCCAGATGAACACTCAGGGCTGATCGGGGAAAAGCAGGGCCCACTTGAGACCCAGGAGGGAGGGCGGGACCAGTGCCAAGGGAGCTGCATTTCTGCACCCTCCCACAGGGTCACAGGGAAAGTGGCTGTCCAGCTGCTTCTGAAATCCCCCAGCGATGGGACGTTTTATGGAAACCAGCCACGGGCGGCACTAAAAAGCAATTTTCTTCTTTCTTTGCAACAAGGCAGGGGGCACAGAAGGAACATCACTTATTTTTATTATAAAGGAACAATTATTTTGAAGTATAATGATAAAAAAAGTCTCAGCCAGTCACAGTGGCTCACGCCTATAATCCTAGCGCCCTGGGAGGCCAAGGCAGGAGGACAGCTTGAGTTCGGGAGTTCTAGACTAGCCTGAGCCACAGCAAGACCCCATCTCTACAAAAAATAGAAAAATCAGCCAGGTGTGGTGGCGCATGCCTGTAGTCCCAGCTACTCAGGAGGCTGAGGCAGGAGGATCACTTGAGCCCAGGAGTTTGAGGTTGCAGTGAGGTATGACAACGCCACTGTGCTCTACCTGGGGGGACAAAGCAAGACTCTGTCTCAAAAAGAAAAAAAAAAAAAAGCAAAGGCCTCATAATGAACTCAGAAAATCACCTTAATGTTTAAAATGCAAACCAAAAAGCCCCCAAAACAAAACTTGTGCTGTGCCAGCATCTGTCCCTTGGTGTCAAACCCTTTCTGAGGATGAGATCAGGTGCGTGGCCCCGTCCACACTTCACACCTATTGAAACAAGTGATGTTTGTGTGGCATCTTTTTCAAGTCTAGATGTGATGAGACGACCTTTTTCAGTTTGGAAAAACAAATGATTATTGATTTTGTACATATTAAAGAGGATCGAAAGCCTCCCGCCAAGCCTGTCAGCCAACATACGGTTTACGAACGGGCTTGCCGAGCGCTGCAAGGAGCTGCAGTCAGGCCCAACGTCGAGGTCTGACACTGCCCACGAGCTGGTCACTCTGGGTTTACTGTGGCCATCTGTTTGACAGAGAACCAGGACAGCCAACAGCAAGGGTTGAGAGTCCCCACCAGGGAGATTGTACATCCCAGTTCTACGTCTGGGCTGAGATTCTGCCCCCAGTTTGGGGTTAACACAGGTTTTCTGTGTCCAGTCGTGGTAAGCCCCAGTGGCAAGACCAAGGCTAGGGTTCTGTAAGGGGTCTTCTTGCAAACGCTGTGACGCAGCACGGGACACACTGACAGAGAGAGGGGAATGGGAGATACTCTCAGCGTGGCAATTTTCAAATGAAGTCAGCAGGGAAGTATCTGGCTGTGTGAATTACCTGCCACTGGAAACAAATGAATATTTACTCCTACCATGGATGGTTCAAACTATAAACAACAGCTTATCAAAAAAGCTCAGTTAGGGGTTCACGCCGACCAGACTGCTGCTGGGTGCTGAGGTGTAGCTGTAACAGATGTGAGCAGGGCTCATGGCCACGAGGGCTGGTAATGCCTCCCTTTAACCGGGTTCAGAGCAAGCCCCGAGCTCCTCAGAAGGAGCAGATCTACTGCTGTTCACACAAGGCACCAGCCAGGAGAGAATGAGCAAACAAAAAACCAACAAGAACTGACCACCAATCCTGAAAAAAGGGGCTCAAAATATAGATCTGATGGCCGGAGAGGAGAATTATTGTTTTCATAAATGAAGGAATGTTTTGAATATCAGGACACGGATTCCTGATGCTGTTATGTTACAGAAAATGTGTCAACCCCAGTCATAAAGAAAGTCTTATTCCAAAGAAATCCTGACGTTTTAATGCACTGATTTAAAATCCAATCAGACTGGAGAGCTCACCTTGTGCTTGGCTGGGACGTCACACGTGAGTGTGCTTGAGCCTGCAGCTGGAGGCCCAAGTCCCTGACACAGCACAGTTGTGCAGTCAAAGACCAAAGTGGTGGTTTGTGGACTTTGATCAGTGTAGAGGGTGCTGAGTGGGGAAAGTAAAGACCAGCAACAGTGCTCTGTTTACAGGGACAGCCCTTCCGCCTGGCCGTAGCCAGTGCCCTCAGGGGTAAACAAACCTGCAGTGTAAGAGAACACCTGAGGGTCAGAGTTTTAATTAATTAATTTAACTCTACTGTGTTTTGAACAGCCACGTAGACCTTCAGTTCAGTAGAGAGAATTTGGTCTCATTTGAGGGTCATTACCAAGGTGGCACACAGCTCCGCAAACACTGCCCAGAAAGACCAAGCGCCTCCAGGGGAGCTGAGCCTGGAGTGTGACGTGAGGTGGAGCCTCAGGAGCCCTGGCCCCTGCCCTGCTGCACTCCCCTCCCCACAAACCTCCCTTTCCAGCTCTTCAATTCTCCCCCAGGAAGAGGGCCGGGCCACTTACTGGATTTGGATCTTCCATGAGCAGCAGTTGAAGCAATAGTGAGAGACTGGGGCTTTATGGGGTCCCCCGGGACAGAATAGCTTCCGGCACTAGGAACCTGGATGTAAGGCCCCACAGCAGCGACCCTGCCAGACGTGCTCAGGGGTGACTGTGGTGACGATGTACCATTCACGCGGTTTAGCTACAAGTCAGGGAGAAACGAAAAGTCAAGATTCTCCTCAATTAAAGGATATCCCAAGCCTAGTGGGAGAGACTGCCAGCTCACACACAAACCACTCCCTTCGTAATTTGTGCTTAGGAAGCCCATCACCCTGAAAGATCAGCATCTAGAAAGTGAGAAATGTCAGAGAAAGGACTCGACTCACAGCCCATATGTGCAGTTCTCTCTTTGATAACTCCAACCCATCTGTGAGCCATAGAAACGAGGAGCTGATGTGATAACAGAACAACTTCCGCATGACCCATGTACAGCCTCCCTCTTACTTGGGGGACACTCTCCCTCCCCCAGGTGGGTACGGAGGTATCAGTCGAGCCTGCATTCTGAGCCTGGCTTCAGGTCCTGCTCTGCCACTTATCTGCTGTACTGCCGTGGGCAAGTGACTTAACCTCTCCAAGCCTCTGTGCCCTCTTCTGTAAAGTCAGGATAAGCGCTGTTGTAAGGACTGTACCAGCCATGTGGGGCACGGTGCCCAGGAAAGGCTCTGACTCCCAGCAGTGAGCCCAGTTCCCTGAAGACAGCTCTGCCTTTCTCAGCAAGGAGACAGAGCCACAGAGGACACTGGTCACACAATGCTGCCCAAGAACAAAAGGGCCTACAACATGGAGTCTAACCAGAGAATCACTGACTCCTTAGGATCCCTAGATAGGCTCTGAGCACGGATCCATAACCCCTACAGTTGTTCGCAAGATTCTATACGCATGAGCACGTGTCATTCTAGGGTGAAAGTTCGTGACTCACAATTGCTCAAAGGTACCTAGCACATTTCTGCAGAAGCACCTTCAAGGACATCCCCTGGAGTGTCAGGTGGAATGGCTCTAGCCGTTTGTGATGCTTCATTTTATGTGTCAACAAGGCTGGGCCACATACCTACATATTTGGTCAAACACCAGGCTAGATGTTGCTGTGAAGGGTATTTTGTAGGTGAGATTAACTTTTAAATAAGTAGATTCTGAATAAAGTGGTTTACCCTCCATACAGTGGGCGGGCCTCATTCAATCAGTGGAAAGCCTTGAGAGAGACAGACGGAGGTCCCCTGGGAAAGAGGGAATTCTCCTATAGATGGCCCCAGACTCCAGCCACAACATCCGCTCTTCCCTGGGTTTCCAGGTTGCAGGCCTGCCTTGCAGGCTGCAGACTTGCCAGCCTCCACAATTACATGAGCCAATTTCTTTTTTTTTTTTTTTGAGACAGAGTTTCACTGTGTTGCCCGGGCTAGAGTGCCGTGGCGTCATCCTAGCTCACAGCAACCTCCAACTCCTGGGCTCAAACGATCCTCTTGCCTCAGCCTCCCGAGTAGCTGGGACCACAGGCATGCGCCACCATGCCCAGCTAATTTTTTCTATATATTTGTAGTTGTCTGATTAATTTCTTTCTAATTTTAGTAGAGACGGCGTCTCGCTCTTGCTCAGGCTGGTCTCGAACTCCTGAGCTCAAACAATCCGCCCGCCTCGGGCTCCCAGAGAGCTAGGATTACAGGCGTGAGCCACTGCGCCCCGCCGGATGAACCATTTTTATCTCACAGAACCAAGTCATCTCACAGAAACTTTCTTTTTCACATGCCTGAATTTTTTTCCCATAAAGACGTTCACGCAGTTCACTGATCCGCTTGTCCATCATGGCCACTTCCATGTTGCGCTTGTTTAGGAGTTCCTTCTGCTGCTGGAGTTTTGAATTCTGTTCCTGGTTAAGCTGATTACGAATCTGCAAAATATAAAATACAACTTTTATGATTTGCGGCAATCGCAAAGTCAAATTCTCATTGCCAGAGAGATTTAAAGAAAAAAGTAGCAGTAAGTTCTGATAAATATTTACATTCATGCATTGCCACCTGTGTGATGAATAGTTTATATGTACAGCATTGATGAAGCCAGAACAGAGTTCTTATGAAACAGAGAAAGTATCTGCAAGGCGCCTTCTTCAAAGCACATGGAATGACCAGCACCAAAGGAGAGGGGTCTGCTTCACCCCATGCAGCTGCTTCATGCCCAGGTCCACCGAATGAGCACCTTACCGTGGAGACAAGAAAATTCGCAAAGGATGACCTGAATCATTAAAGAAAGCACCTCTTATGTCATGTGAGTGAGTTGCAACTGGCACTTTTAAGAAATAGGAAAGAATAGAAAATATCAGAGTGTAATTTCTATAGGAAATTAAGTACTGTCTTGTTAAACTCTTTCAGATGCCCACAGCACTTGTGTATACACACTTCCATATGTGTACCAGACAGAAGGTAAAAAGTACTTTTAAAAACTAGGCCAGGCGCGGTGGCTCATGCCTGTAATCCTAGCACTCTGGGAGGCGGAGGCGGG